TTTTCTTTTTCTTTTAAACATATTTTTATTGATTTCAGAGAAGAAGGGAGAGGGAGAGTTAGAAACATCAATGATGAGAGAGAATCATAGACCGGCTGCCTCCTGCACGCTCCACATTGGGGATCAAGCCCGCAACCCGGGCATGTGCCCTTGACTGGAATCGAACCCAGGACCCTACAGTCCACAGGACGACACTCTATCCACTGAACCAAACCAGCTAGGGCCTGGCAGTTCTTCAAAATGTTAAACATAGAATTATCACATGACCAAGCAATTTAGCTCCTAGCAACATAGCCAAAGAAATTAAAAATTGGCATTCAAACAAATACTTGTACACAAATGCTCAAAGCAACACTATACACAATTGTCCAAAGGTGGCAATAACCCCAATGTCCATCAAGTGATGAATGGATAAAGAAAAGGAGGTATGTCTGTATAATAGAATATTATACAGCCAGAACAAGGAGTCAAGTGCTGAAACATGCTATAATATCGATGGTGCTAAGTGAAAGATGCCAGACACAAAATGTCACATATTTGTGGTTTTTAGGGGATAGGGAAAAGGGGAGTGACTGCTTTTGGGGCACAGAGGTTCCCTCTGGGGCAGCAAAAATCTTTCGAAACTAAACGGAGGTGATGGTATTATAACATTTTAAATGCACTAAATGTCACTGAATTGCATATTTAAAAATGGTCAGTTTTATGTGACATTTACCTCAATAAAAATAAGATTATTTGGAGAGTGAATGGGAGGCGGCAAGAATGGAGATGGGAGGACAATGGACACGCTGCTGCATCGGTCCAGGTTAGAAATGATAGTGACTCCAGGGACGATGGCGTCTCTGGTGCTGGACCGCGTGGGAAATGTCCGTATACATTAGGCAGGGGATCAGGATTTTAGGAAAAGGAGAGGGAGCACCGAGAGTCAGGGAGGAGCGCTTCTCCAGCTTGTAGCTAAAGTCACGCAAAGGGTGAGTGCATGGGGAGGGCAAGCGGCAAGGAGACTGCACGAGGAGGCCAGGGTGAGGTCTAGAGGCTTTTAGATTAAAAATGTAAAAAAAAAAAAAAGAAAGTTACAATGTTAAAATATTGATCCAGGACGACAGAGGAACATCTAACAGTAATCTGAGGGGAAAGCCATGTTTGGGGAGGTTTGTATTGTAGGCGAGGGGATAACTGAGTGCTTTCAGCTCCAAGATAAGGAGCCACAACTGAGGGCAGGCGTATTTGATGCAACTAACAAGACCAGAGTCTACCAGTTGGCTCCAGGGAGGAGGAGGAACTCAGAGATAGATGATGTGGGAGCACAATTTTGTCATGAGAGGTACAAGTGTTGTGAGACTTCTACCCAACCGCGAGGGAGGGATGCGGGCTGGACAATGTAGAAACGTCTGGGAACAGATTTTGAGGAGAATGTACCAGAGAGTAAAGGCTTGCCAAGGAGTCCTGAAAGTCAGGAACATACTTCCTGAAAGTCAGGAACATACTTCTGTAGAGGAGCCAAGCTTTTTGTTATGTAACTTATTTATTTTTTCTAAAAGCACCAGCCTGGTGGGTATAGTGTTACATAAAACACTCTAGTCAGGCAGCAAACAGAATGGGAATAGTGTCAAAGAAACACAAGAGATCTCAGAATAGTGTCAAAGAAACACAAGAGATCTCAGAAGAAGTCAGATTTGAAAAATTTCCACATGTAAGCTCCTTCTTCAAAAGAAATACTATTTAAAAACTATATTGGACTAGAGGCCCAGTGCATGAAATTCTTGGACTCGGGGGGCTGGGGGGAGGGGGGTCCCTCAGCCCGGCCTGCGCCCTCTTTCAGTCTGGGAGCCCTTGGGGGATGTCTGACTGCCGGCTTAGGGGAGTGGGCCTAAGGTGTCAGTCAGACATCCTTAGTGCTGCTGCGGAGGTGGGAGAGGCTCCCGCCACCTCTGCTGCGCTCACCAGCCATGAGCTTGGCTTCTGGCCAAGCAGTGCTCCCCCTGTGGAAGCGCACTGACCACCAGGGGGCAGCTCCTGCGTTGAGCGTCTGTCCCCTGGTGGTCAGTGTGTGTCATAGAAACCAGTTGTTTTGCTGTTTGGTCGATTTGCATATTAGCTTTTTATTATATAGGATAAGTAACTACACATTTAAATTAGCCAAGAGGAATTACTTGCTCACTTAGATGTGTATATATGTCACATAAAATTATTATAATAAAATATAGGTAGCCTTTTAAAGGCCTATATACTGAAACTACGTTTTAGGAAGTTGAGAATTTTTCTATCAGTGGTAACATTAAAAAACTTCCAAACATGTAATATTGTATTAATTGTTAGTACAATATACTAAAAAATTGTTGTACTCAAAAAACAAACAAACAAAAAAGTGAACTCATGGATATAGAGAACAGATTGGTAGTTGCCTGGGGTGGGGAGTGCAGGATGGGTGAAATGGGTAAAGGGGCTCAAAAGGTACAAACTTCCAGTTATAAAATGCAGAGGGCATGCGGATGTAATGTACAGCATGGTGACCATAGTTAAAAAACGTTGTTACATATCTGAAAGTGGCTAGGAGACTGAATCTGGAAAGTTCCTATCTTGAGAAAAAAATTGTAATTATGTATGGTGATAGATGCTTACTGGACTCATGTGGTGATCATTCTACAATACATACAAATATTCATATACACATGTACAAACCATTAGGGTGCATGACTGAAAATAGTATGTCAATTATACCTAAATTTTAAAAAGTGTTGCATTAATTGACTAAGCAAGTATTTTGGAAAAATCAATGTGCTTCATCTACTACTCTAAGTACTGTATACATTATTATATGTTGTAACTAATTCATGGCTGCAGTTGACACTCTAGAAATTTAATCTTGCATTACAAAGAACATCTATATATATCAACACACACCTTAGCTATTAAACAGACCTCTCCCTATTTCCCCACCCCCAGCCCCTGGTAGCCACTTTTCTACTCTCTTTCTGTGAGTTTGGCTGTTTTTTTAGATTTCACACATAAGTATGGAATCTATGCAGTTTTGTCTTCCTCTGTCTGGCTTATGTCACTTAGCATAACGTCCTCAAGGTCCATCCCAATCTTTGCAAATGGCAGGATTTCCTTTCCTGTGGCTTCTTGTTCACACTTTTAAAAATCTACTTATATGTTCTACTCAACTCTTAGGAGATACAACTGCTCCTCTCACCTTAGCGAGTCTCAATTCAAATGAGACTCCATTCTACAGCCAGGCTCCTGAACCCCACTCACCCATTCGTACTGATAGAAAGTGAGGTCTGGCCCTCCGGTCCTCCAGTGTGCTTACTTATCACCCTAGTCATGAGCCTCTAGTTCATATTGGCTTGGACATTGGCTGTATTTTTTTTATTTTAACTTAAATTTTTTTCAAACACAGTTTACATTCAATATTATTTTGTATTAGTTCCAGGTGTATAGCACAGTGGTTAGACAATCATATACTTTACAAAGTGTTCCCATTGCATTTTCATATGAACTTTTACAAAATATGCTTTTATTGATTTTAGAGATAAGAAGGGAGAGGGAGAGAGAAACATTGATGTGAAAGAGAAACATTGATAGGTTGCTCATGCATATACCCCGACTGGGGACTGAATCCTTAACCTGGGCATATGCCCTGACTGGGAATTGAACTCGAGACCTTTTGGTGTACAGGATAACACTCAACCAACTGAGCCACACCATCCAGGGCTTCATATGAACTCTTTTATAGACTCAACTAGACTATTTTTCTAAGGGAAAGGACTATTATTGTTCTTATATAGTTATAAATAATAGCCATAGAAATATATCTTTCAACCTGATTCTTTTTCCCCCCTGACAATTTAGAAAAAAATTCTGAATATGGCATTGTATGGCAGCCAGGAAAATCACCACTCCTCTGCTCAGAAACAGACCAAAAAGGATACCGATGAGACTGGGCTGGCCTGTTTTGATTATTCTACCAGATACACATTTTAAACACTGTAATCATTAGAGGAGTCCATTGCCAAATGGAGGCAAGCTTAAGTAATCTTCCAGAACTTCTTCCCACACACACCTGTCACACTGACATGCAAAATACTGGTAAACCTGTCTGAATACATCTGACAAAGTTTTTCAAAGAAAAATATTAATGAAGTTTAGTTGAGCATTCAAATTAACTCAAGAATAGAGGAGGAAAAACTAATGTAAAATGAACGTATCTGGAAAATAGATAAATATAGACTGTGAGAACTAGTATGGGTCTGAACCCTGATTTTGGGGGCCACAAATAGGAAATTTCCTTTTCTTTTTTTAAAATTTAATATATTTTTATTGATTTTTACAGAGAGAGGAAGGAAGAGAGATAGAGAGAGAGAAACACTGATGAGAGAGGAACATCATCAATTGGCTGCCTCCTGCGCGGCCCCTACTGGGGATCAAGCCCACAACCCAGGCATGTGCCCTGACTAGGAATCGAACTGGTGACCTCTTGGCTCCTGGGTCGACGCTCAACTGCTGAGCCACATGACCCGGGCGGAAACTTCCTTTTCTAGCTATATAAAATGACCTGGAACCCCTCGCTCTTGGTGCTTATCAACACTGACAAGCAATGTTGGTTATGGGAATTAGTGAATGAAAAGGCATTCATAAGACCTCCCTCCAGGATTTCAGGGAAGACTAGTGTGTAACAAAGCCATGGTATTTGGGGGGGAGGGCAGCAAAAGGAAATAATACTGGTCACCATGAAAAGTTTCCAGAAACACATTATTCCTTTTAAATAACAACAACACAAACAACAAATGTTTAAACAACATTATATGCAACCCTTAGGGAAGAAGACAAAAGGTAACCCCAATTCAAACTTCACAGACTTGGTTGTCCTATATTCCACAGGAACTGTAAAACACAGTTATGTTTACTTACTTAGGTATAAGAATTCAATGGTTTCCCCCTAAAGTTCAGGATAAGGGAGATTCTTATCACAAAAGACACAAAACGCACTTCTGTTATTATGTTTGAGTAGGCTGTACCATTTTTTATTTTTAAGCTCTAAGTCTTGTGATTCTTTCCTTAGAAACACCAAGTTCCCCTCCCCCTCACTCCCCATCAAGAAACTAGTGTCATAACACGAAGGCTCTTCACTTTAGAAAAAACACACAACCCCAGTATTCCAAGGAGAGGTTTAATTTTCCGGGAAGTCAGGAAAGCCATCCATTCTCTCCAGCAGTTCAAGAACAACCATTTATTCATTATTAATGACACTGATTCAGATGCTCAGGAAGGGGAGCTACGTCCCACACACATTAAAATATTGGCTTCTCATTTTATCCCATTACATTCTTAAAATTTCTTTGCATATTCAAGATGGTCCAGGAGCCCCTGACCTTGACTACAGCCTAGCAAGGAGGCCTGCTTTCAGCCTGGCGACCCATCCGCTAGGGCACAAAGGGGGAACGCACCTTGCCTGGAGGCACGAGCAGTGGTACATGAACAAATCACTATAACCATGAACACTGTCCATTCATACAGTTTATTCCACTAGACTGCCATTTCATACACAGTACGAAGGGATTTCCTGATAGCACACGTAGTTTGCTTCCGGTACTGCGGACGAGCCTTTTTTTATTTATTTAAAAAAAACATTATATCATAATACCCTATCATGAAAACATTATTCAGTGACTTTTTTCCAACTACACATAAACGGAGATTTACCACACACACGGTGCAAGAATGTCTTTATATCATATTGGAATCACAACGGGTGAATCTAAAATACATCACTGTCATTGGAACACTACTTTCAACTCACAACGCCATGTTCTCGTAGCCCGATCTCGTTCATCTCTGAGTACGTCACCAAGCAGCTTGGCGGGCAACTTCCCGCATACCCGGCAGCAGCTCTGAACGATGATGTCAAAAGAAATCTCTCACGCACAATCCAAATTTCCAATTTTAAAAACTTCTTCCTTTATGCATTCAATATTCTCAGAATCAAAATAGGACATTTTCAAATTTCTCGTCTCTGAAACAAGGAGAAGGAAACACAACCTCCCTTCGCTAGAAGGCTGGGGTTGTGTCAGGAGGTTTCCTAGAAACCCAAGAAAAGCATCGCATGGGGAGTGGGATTGTGTTAAAAAGGAACACAATTTTCCTTATAAGTTTCTAGGATTTCTCTGCCCCTCCCCACCTCTGTCAAACCCAGAGAAAGAATACTGTACTGTACTACTAACCAAGGTATGTGTGTCCATGAAATGATGGTCTAAAGGAAATGGATGTAAACATGTCAGAGAGAAAGATTTCTTCATTTTCCCATTTGCTGAGTGGGGCGGGGGGGGGGGGGGTGAGATCAGTTAAATAAGAAATAGAACTCCTTAGTCAAAGAACCACTTCATCACACACAACACAGCTAGGGATCACTGCCGAAAACTTCTCATGTGCTTCCTTTTCTTTCCCCCAAAGTTTGAGAATGTTTGCAAGTTCAATAAATAGTAGAAAAATAATCCTTTGCTTAGAAATCTTGAGATGCATCATGTAGAGCTTCACACAAGTCCCCTACGGCAATCGTGGTGGCTGGGTACCGCCGAGGAGCAAAGCGAAGTCTTCAGCGCACACGCTGCTCCCAGGACGGGCCGTGCCACATTCCCCGGCTCCGCTGGAGCGCATTTTTCTCTCGCCCCGTCCCGTCCCGTCCGGTTAAGGAGAGCCGAGCGTTTCTGGCTCCTCAGCACATTCCTCTAGCTCAGCTTAACGAAGGCTCCCGATGTTTCCTGTGTAGGTTCTGTCTCTGTGTTTGGAGGTTTGCCTTCAGTTCCATTCCGTGTGGGTCACGGCCGGCTCGTTTATCAGGCTAATTTCCCCTCCGTGGCAGAACCAGCCGGGCACCTTCCCAAGTGCGATCGGGTTGTTTCTCTCCTTCTCCAATGTATTCGCAGGCTGGACATGAGTTCGATCACTCTGGACCAAGCCCAAATGCAAGGGGTTTCTTGCTGTGGGTGTTAGGCTGGCTCTTTCCCTCTCCGGAGCGCCCTGCACCTCCCAGCTCCCGTCTTCTCACGGAGGTGCGGGGTGGTTAGCACTCCGCATCCACGGTGTGCACGGTCACGGCCGCCTGGAGGTGGTGGCTGTGATGGAGCGTGGGGTGGGGCAGGCGGTAGTGGTGGAACTTGTTACTTAGGAGGGCCGCGGTCTGCGGCGGGGCGTCCAGGTCCAAGTCCTCATCGTGGTTCCCCACGTCGACCCCTGCGGACAAGGGGTCATTGTTGCACGGAGGGTTTTCACTGTCTTCCTGTGGGCTCATCGTGCTGTAGCCTAGAAAATGAACAGAACAAGTAAGCCGCGGGGAGCTTCCAGGCGCAGGGAGGAGATGTCACTTCCTATCCCCAGGGCACAGGAGGCGGTCCTACCTTTGTGCTACACCGGTGCCAACGCTTGCAGGCTGTCAGCGGAGGGCCAGGTGCTTATTTTAAAGAGATCTTGTGTTGACTGTTATTTTCTTAAAACAATTACCCAAGAAATACCTAATCATTTCAGACAACTGAGAAAGTCTAGATCAGAAAAAAAAAAAAAAAATATGCAAGGCCCTGACCCGTTTGGCTCAGTGGATAGAGCGTCGGCCTGTGGACTGAAAGGTCCCAGGTTCGATTCCAGTCAAGGGCATGTACCTTGGTTGTGGGCACATCCCCAGTGGGAGGTGCGCAGGAGGCAGCTGATCGATGTTTCTCTCTCATCGATGTTTCTAACTCTCTATCCCTCTCCCTTCCTCTCTATAAAAAATCAATAAAATATATTTAAAAAAATTAAAAAAATATATATATGCAAGAACCCTTTCCTTAAATCAACAAAATAAAAACCAAAATTATCTCATGTCCCATCTGATTCATAGATAACCGCCAGTGACACTTGGGGAACTCTCCTCCCTCCTACACTTTTCCCTGAGATGAGATTAAGGTCATTTTTTATTTTAAAGGAAGAGAAAAAGAACGGTAGCTTCACCCAGCTGGCATGGCTCAGTGGTTGAGCATCAACCTATGAACCAGGAGGTCACGGTTTGATTGCCAGTCAGGGCACACGTCTGGGTTGTGGGCTCAATCCCCAGTGTAGGGCGTACAGGAGGCAGCCAATCAATGATTCCCTCTAATCATTGATGTTTCTATCGCTCTCTCCCTTCCTGAAATCAATAATATATATATACTTAAAAAGGCAACTTCAAGAAAAAGACCCTAACAGGTCTCAGATCAGTTGGGGACTGGTGGGCAAAGCTGGGCTTCAAAATGCCTGAATGTGATGCAACAGTAAGAACAAAAACAATTGCCACCTTATCTGCACACCTGCTCCTCGGCAGGCACGGATGTCATGTCATTCCTGCATCCCAACAAAGCAGGCATTTTAATATCCATTTTACAGGTGAGGGAAGCAAGGATCAGAAAGGTTAACGAACCTGCCTGAAGTTCCAGTACCAACTCCACACACCCCCACAGGAGCTAGCAAAGGAGTCAACTATTCTCTGTGGGCGCTGGCCCACTGTATTTAAAGATTCATTTCTTCTGGTATTCTAAGTCATACATGTTTCAAAAGAAAATACCCTTGCTGATCAAAGGATTCCAAGAACGCTGGCATGTTTTTAAATATTGCAAAAATCCCCTTTAAAATGTTTGAGAAGTGACAGCTCATTAATATTTCCGCTGCATCTACAGTTATCATCCATCAGCACTCACCCGTGGGCAGCGCTAGTCACAGTTGTGGCTGTGCAATTGATGTGCCTGCATACAGCCAAGCCGGAATAGTCGGAATAGTCGGTGGTTGAAAATGTGTGCTTCGTGCAAAAGTGAGAAAGGCAATTCTCTGCCCTCAATGAAACATTTCCCAAATGACAATTAGTTAAGTCAGTCCAATGCCACAAATCTTTATTGGGTGCCTACTAGGCCCCTGCCGGAGATACCAAGATGGAAACCTGGTTCCTGTACAAGGAGCTCAAAAGCTAGTGCTTGAGAAATCAAACAAGTATAAACATAACTCAATTCAATTACTCATTCATTGAAGACCACAGTGGGGCTGGAGACTATAAAACATACATAAGAGATGTCTTTTATCCTTAAAGGTTTCAGGAGACAGATATTCATGAAGCTAGGCTTATTGCAATGCAGATAATGGTAAGTGCTATCATTGAGGTATAGTTAAAACCCAGAGTAGGGAGTGACTACGTCTGGCTGGGGGAATGAGGAGGCGCCACAGAAGAACTCGTCTTTCAGTTGGGCTTAAATGGATGAACAGGAGTTGGGTAAGTGGATAGGAGCAAAAGAACAGGTGAGCACAGCCACAGAGGTGTGGAAACCTAAGGATATACCTGTCCCATGTGGCTAGGATGAGTGCCAGCAGGTAGCTGGAGAACAGGGCAGGTAGAAGCTGGGACAGTGAGTTCAAGTCACATCATGAAGGCCATGCCAAAGCACAGAAAACGAAGGGACAGTACACGATTTTGAAAATACCTTAGGATACCCGAGTAAGTGACACTCCAGGTGGCCCTCATGGGACAGGAGGGATTTATTAGGAAAAGGAAGGGGCAGAGGAAATGTGCCACAGAGAGGGAGACGAGCATATGCAGACAGAGCAGCCGGAATGGCCCTAGTGGACTGGCCAGTGGTGAGAAGCCTGGTGTGGGGGAGGACGATGTGGGAGATGCCGCTGGACAGGGAGGCTGGGACCAGATCAACAAGGCTGGCCGCAGCTACGAGTTAGGATTCAGTAGTGGGCAAGGGAGGCAAATGGCAAAGACATATCGTGTGTTAAGGCGATCCCTGTGGCAATGAGGAGGCTGGACAGAAGGAAAGAGCGATCAGACGCTCAGAAGACGGGGCAGGCGTGTCAGCCCGAGGAGATGGTGAGGACCTGACGTGGGGCAGCCATGGGCTTCGTGAAACTCCTCAAGTGCAGAGTGGGCTGGATTTGGTGACTAAATGGACTCACCTGGTGTGTGTGACAAAGGAGTTATTACCTCTCGGAGAAGGTCAAGGTTTCTAGGTTCAGAGGCTGGGGAAATTGTGATGCCTTCTCCCAAGACTAAGAGATCGGGAGCCAGAGCAAGTTTCTCAGTTTTTCAGCTTTGGCAGTGCTGTGTCTAGACTATAAGACTGGATGGCAGAATGAAGACTGGTGCAGCCACTGTGGAAAACAGTATGGAGTTTCCTCAAATAATTAAAAATGGAACTTCCATTTGACCCAGTGATCCCACTTCTGGGAATATATCCCAAGAAACTAGAAACACCAATCAGAAAGGATATATGCACCCCTATGTTCATAGCAGCATTATTTACAACAGCTAAGATTCAGAAACAGCCCAAGTGCCCATCAGTAGATGAGTGGATAAAAAAGCTGTGGGACATTTATACTATGGAATACTATGCAGCTATAAAAAAAGAGAGACCTCTTACCCTTTGGGATAGCATGGATGAACCTGGAAAATAATATGCTAAGTGAAATAAGCCAAACCAAGAAAGACAAATATCACATGTTCTCACTTATTTGTGGAACCTAATGAACAAAAGGAACTGACCAACAAAATAAGACCCAAAGCAGGGAGGCATGGAACAGACTGACATACCTCAATGTGGGGTTGAGGGGACGAGAAGAGATAAACCAAAGAACTTATATACTTATATGCATAGCCCATGGACACGGGCAATAGGGTGGTGAAGATGGGAAGGGGGTAGGGGCTGGTAGGAGGAGCAAAAGAGGGAGAAAACAGGAAATATCTGTAATACTATCAACAATAAAAAGTATATTAAAATAATAAACTGTGGGGAAAAAAAAGACTGGATGGTAGACTCCCAACCTCAGTTACAAAGTGCTACATATGCTTACATCACCGTTTGCTCTACATAGAAGGGATGAAGTGGAAAACCTGGTTTTAGTCAAGTGCAGTGTCTGTGCTGATTATTTCTCTCAACCTTTAGAGCTACGCTGTCTTCCTCTTTCCTCCACATACTCCTGGGAGCCTTCTGTCTCTGGTCACTGGCACACACCCACAGTCACTGATAATTCACTTTCACATTCATGATACAAAACTCAGGGGGGTCCGTCTGCCTGGCTCCCCTTCCCTCCTCTTGCTATTTGCCCCAGGCTTTAGTTTGAGGGTCTTCTCTGGAAGCATCCCCAACCAACACCCCCTACCACTAGGCCAGTGTCCCTTCTGTGAGTTTAAACAGCATTCTGTGTACATCACTATCTTAGATTTCACCATGTTATAATATAGGGCTGTCTTATCCATTAGCAAATTCTTTCTAAAAAAACACAGTAACTTATTTATCTTTGTACTTCTAATATTCAACACAATACTCACACAATTAAAAAAAATCACGCATTATATTCCCAAAACAAAGGCATCAATGAATTTTTTTTTCAATTATCTGTGGTGACTTTCAACAGTCTTATCTGATAAGGAAGACAATCCAGGATTCCCCGGACCCTGCCCAGGGGTTCTGACTTAGGATCCAGGGATGCCCTGAACCTGACTGGTCACAGACCCAGGGTGGTGGGGATGGTGCAGGTGTCCCCGAGGCAACTTGGGGCACCCCCATTTCTCTTGATGCTTTCTGATGAGAACCCCAGCAGAGGCCCTTCCAAAGTGAACCACTCACTGCGGGGCCATCCTATTTAACTTGCTCAATCCCTCTGTAATGTAGGCTTCCCTTTATCTCAATAATTAATAAAAATCTGCAGGGAGGAAGTAAGTTGTGGACAAGCAGGAGAAAGACAAACACATATTCTCACTTAACAAATTAATTGTTCACTTGGTGCCATGCAACTCGGTTGAGCACAGGGAAGAGTGATGAATAAGACAGACTCAGTCTCTGACTCACGGAGGGAGCCCTATTTAAAACACAGAGGATATTTACCAATACTTTCAAAGGAAAAATTCGTTACTGTCCAAAGGCGTATGCAGAGAAATCTCTACAAAGATGATCTCAATCAAGAAAAAGGTTTCAGGAAGGAGGTCAGGTGTCCATTAAGAACAGAAGAGTCAAGATTAAGCTTCTGGTCTTTGGTATTCTGCTTGTATATCTAGCTGATGGTTTCTAAGAAACCTCTCTTGATGGTTAGTTAAGGATGTTAGGTTTCTCCAGGGACTCACTCACCATCTGGTGGCCACAGAGAGTAACTGCAAGATAGTATCTGCACCTCTAGACAATGGTCTGCTGCACTATACAGGTTTTGACCAGATTTTCAAGGTTCAGCATTTGCCTTTTGAATGTTTTGGAATTTGCTTAACTTGGGGAAAATTTCCCTCTTAAAAAGAAAAAAAATGTTGCTTCATATACATATACATAAAGTTTCTAATAAGATGGTAACCAGAACAGATTCAAAAGGAACAAATTATTGGTGGTTTTTATCTTTAAAAAAAAGAAAAGAAAAGCCAGTAGATGATTAGATAAAACATGATAGCTTCAAGAGAAATAATGGGCAAAGCAGATATATAATTAAAAGCACAGGTAGGTAGTAACTGTTTAACCTGCTCGTGGCAGTAACAGTCCATAGTTGAGTGCTGAAAACAATTGTTCCAGGAGATCTTAGAATATTGACAAAGATGATTTCACTTTTCAGAAACCATTCTTAGTTTGAATAGAATTTTTTTTAATGAAATACAAAAATTAAAATGAGATTCCTTTGAAATACAGAACTCCTTTGGTCACACTAAATATTTCTAAATAAAAAACGTAGCCTGAAAGTTTCCAAGGTTAGTCTAGTAACATTTAATTTTAATTCTAGGAACATCACAGGTCTGAACCGTACCACAAAAGTCAAGTGTATCTGTGTTACTGTTTTGAGTTTTCTTTTGTGTATCAGACCCCCAAACTCTTGTGGAACTATGCTCCCTGCGTAGCAAAGAACCATGGTCCTACAACCTCACCAGTTCAAGGGCCAGCACACGCCACTTTCCCCCTGGGATCTTCCATGATTTCCCTGCAGATGAAAGAGGAATACCTAACCTTCTTCTTCTTTGTTCCACTCCTTTAAGGAAGCTGTCATAGTCAGTCTTTTATCAGTCTTAGGGAAACATGCATTCATTTACTGTTTACCCCTGGACTGTAAATTGCTTGAGGGCAGAGTGGGTCTGTAGGTGGGGAGGTCAACCCTGAGTTCCCGTCTGCCATAAATTGTTTCGTTATTCCCCACAACTTCACTGGCGGGGAAGTTCTAATCCTGTTTTAATAATTAGGAAATTGAGGTCCAAAGTAGCTTCGCTAAGTCTCACAACTTGTAATGAGGAGGAGCGGAGAGATCCCAAGTGAACTCTGCTTGACCTTCTCCTGTGAGCCTTCGACATCACCGCTGCCTGGCTCACATAAATGACACCTCCCCTTCTCTAAGCTCCCCCCGCCACACACCCCCCAGCCCCATGCCTAGCAAATAGCAGATGCAATACAGTCACCATATAGGACAATAAAGACGAGCTAGAAGCGTGCTGACAAAACAATTAGATTACTAGTAGATCCTTGTTTTAATGTGGACATACGGCTTTATCTTCTATGCATGATAGGGACATTAACTCAATGCCACCAATTTTACTGACCCACCATACGGGTGCGGGGATATGACAACATGCAGTTAAAGGCTATTGATTTGGTAGTGCATCTGGAATTACGTGGAATGTCAATGTCTCCCACTTCTTTTTGTGTTGCATTCTGTCTGCACGAGAAACTATTTTTTATTCCTTGGGGATAACAGGGCTCCAATTATTGTGAAAAATGAAAGAAAGCAAGCCCTTAGCTGGATTCCTTGGCTTTCAGATACTGACACTGCTCCACTCCTTTTATCTAAGCTGTTGCTTCATATGCCATTTTACTAAGACAATGGGAGAGCTAATGGAACATTCTCAACGTCACTCAGAATTCCAATTTAGTATTGAAGTAATTTCAACTGGGGGAGAATAAGGGGGAGGGAGGGGGAGAGAGGACAAGGGAGGGAGGGAAGGAAGGAGGGAGAAGACTCAGTATTTCTGCTGAATAAGAAATTATTTCTGTTGAACTTCAGTAGCCTCAAACCTGTTTTATTATTCAAAGGAGAGGAGGCACAGAAGTGCCTGGCAGAATGCATTTATAGAATGTTCAAAGGTTTTTAGGGAAAAAAGGCAGAAAGTCAAAGAAGTAGAAAAATTTAAGTTCTGCTTTGACTCTCCATAGAAACGCCATGTTTCTATTTCGTTGGTGGGAACAATGTCATTCAAAGCTCAAATTAACAGTCTCCAATTTACAATCAGAGCCTTAGCTCCTCTTTTCCAAAGGGAGTCTGAGGACCTGGCTGTCGGGGAAAAGGCCAGATCGGCTGCTTTGACAAATACCCACTCCTGCATTTCTCAGCCCAGGTGTGGGAGCACTGTGTTTGAAGACATGTTTTTCTTTTCCTTTTCAGGATAGATGTGCAGAAAGCAGAGTCAACTAAATGCATTATTCATGCATTAAAAAAAAAACAAAACCTGATTCTGGGGAGAAAGTAAGTATTTCTGGAGAATTAAACAGCTATGTGAAAAATAAAAAAACTGCTGTTCTCTATGACAACAGCCACGTGGACGCCGGGCCGGGAAGGTGAGCAGCTAAGTGGTACAAATTCCTGGCTCATTTGGCACGCAGCACCTTTTCACTACTCAGCCCGGAGCCCGCCTTAGCATCCTACAAGGACTCTGTACAACACCAGGACTGTGCCCACTAGTCCCTTTGTCCCTAATGCTCTTTCCTCACCCGTCAAGGCCCAGAGTAAATGCTGTCTCTTTAATGAAACTTGCCCAGAGCCTCCCAGGCAGGGCTGGAGGCCGGGTTGGGGAATGCCAGAGGACACCATGGACTCTTGCCCTGTCCCCAACGTACGTGCCTAGGAGAGCCTTGATGATGCTGGTGTTTGCCAACTAGCAACACTGGGCGGTAGGACCTATTTAGCTGCCTATTTACTGAGAGTCACGTGGGCGGGAGAAGCTTTCACTCAGACATTATTCAGGGCGAAAACCTAGGCAGCCACCTGTGTATCAGAGTTCATCTCACTGGGCCCAGGAGCGCGGAGACACACGCAAGGCCACCCTTGGGCTCTTATCACAGTGTCACGTTGGAATGTGTCTTTTTGGAAAATCATGTCAGAATAATTGCCTTGAGCACAGAACAGGAAGGAGAGAGAAGAGTGGGCATGAGCGCTGGCCCGCAGGGGTCCCCCGGGGCCCGCAGGCCCTGGCGCAGGAAGCGAGACCTTACCATGATCACTCTCGGTTCCCGAGCGGCCCCAGTAGCGACGCCTCCTCTCCGGACTGTGTGCGTGCCGCTCCATGACCGCGGCTATAAACCGAGTATTGCTGACTGTGGAAGACAAGGACAGCGAGTCACGCCTATGCCATGTCCTTACTGTAGCAAGGACATTTACTCTGAACAGGCTCATTTGCATGATGGGGTTGCTCTGTGGAGAGCTAGAATATGTAATTTTTTTTTAAAAAAAGCTGAGGATTAGGGGAGCTGGTTTTAGAACTGGGGCAGGGAGAGGTTCCTAATTACGTACCTCCACGGGCATCAAGAAGATAGGCTCTAAGTCAGGGGTGGGGAACCTTTTTTCTGCCAGGGGCCATCTGGTTATTTATAACATCATTTGCAGGCCATACAAAATTATCAACTTAAACATTAGCCTGCTCTCCTTGCTCAAACATTTAATTAACTCACCCCTAACACCTCGGCAGGACCAGACCAAATGATTTTGTGGGTCTTATATGGCCCGAGGGCCAGACGTTCCCCACCCCTGCTCTAAGTAGTTGAAGCCTACAGTATCTCAACACTAGTGGAGTTGTCTTTTAGTAAAGAGCTGCCCCTTTCCCCACATTGTGTACATTAGTTTAGGGATTAAAGAAAATGCATCCGGGACTATTCCCCTTCTAATACACTATGTTGGACAGTAATGAGGAGGAGAAAGAAATGGAAGGGTGAGGCCAAAGCAATGCATTCCAAAAAGAGCATCAGGAAAGCTTTTGAGATTTCCTAAAACAAAGCAAACACCTATACGTATTCCTAATGAAAATGGGGGAGAAGACCTCATCATGTCAAAGCCTCTAAAATTTTAATACAAGCCAAGAGGATATAAAAAGGAATATTTATTCCGGATTAGCCTCCTGCTGACACCTCTGCGCGAGGCAGCGGGATACTCACTGATGCCTCTGTCTTCGTGGCTGTCGTCGTCCCTTTCATCTCTGTCATTCTCCAGGTTGGACATACGCACTGACATTTCTACCCATCATTAAAAAGAGAGAAACATGACTATTTAATCAAACAAAACCAACGACCTTAACACCCTGCAGCGGGCTCGCTGGATGGCTGGGTGACAGCATTCCATCAAGAAGAACCCGATTTTGGAAAAGAAAAACTAATACCCCCCTTTTTTTAAAATAGAGGAGAGAACAGGAATCAGAAGCGGGAGAATAAGTGAACAATTGGACCTGACACCGATTTCTGAAGAGAAGAAAAGGTGAGAGAGACTAACTCTGCTGAGACACCCAAAACAGAAGGAAACGGTCTCAAACCCCAGCCAACCGCGTTGATAAAATGGTGCCACACAATCGTATAAAAGGTCAGGCACAAGGCAACCCTGGATGGCAGCCGCCCTCAGTGTAACCCACCTTACCGAGGGGAGGGGGAGCCTGGTGCTGAGCCCTGTCACTGAATCGGGCAGCATTACCCCATCAGGATCGTGGCCACAGTCAAACAGGCCGATGCCCCTGTGTTTCCGGCTGCCAGGCGAGCTCAGAGGCTCCTGACCCGGTCCAGGAAGAATGCTGGGTCAGCCTCAGCTCCATACGGCCCGGTGAGCACACCCCCGGAGCTTTTCGGAATGGGTTGGGGAAGGGTGTGTGTGTGTGTGTGTGTGGCCCCTTAAATGGTTTTTGTCCCTTGCAAAGGAACACAGATGCCGCATTTAACTCTTGGTATGGAAGCAGTAATTACGGACTAATCATTTTATACCTGGCTTCATTTACCTAGCCTGTCTTAAGAGATAGGATTATTCCTTTGAATGTGTGTTCATTCACAAAATATATAATAAAATAGGTAACACCAACAGAATGGTTCCTGTTCTTGCCCATAGTGATCTGGGGCCTCTGTGCTGACCAGTGTTTTGGGGACAGCAAGGGCAACACATCTGAGCTGAGTGAAGAAGAACGTTTCCCACTCGGCATTCCAGCTCCCTGGCTGGCCTGCTCCAGAGCAGGTGTGGCGGGTGGATGCTGCGTAAGGGAGAGGAGCCAGGAATTTCCCAGGGACTCAAAAGGGGCTAGAGGAGCCAAGCAGGCTCCGGGTGCTCTGCACCCCCTCTGGAGAGGCGGGAAGTGCAGCCCTGTTCTTATCAATGCTCAGAGGCCCACGATGGGCCACCATCCTTCGGCCCTGGAAGCACCTGCGGAGGCTGCTGCTCCTGCGGGAGCTTTGAGATTCTTTCCCTGCGAGCTCACCTTGAGCGGCCAGAGGAGACATGTGCTGATGGCTCCGGCGGTGAATCTGATGGCGGTAGGCGTACACGGCGAGGACCAGCACCATGATGCACCCCATGATGCCTCCGGCCACGGGGCCCACGGGGGCACTTTTAATCATGTTCAATGTGATCACCTCATCACCTTCATGAAAACAAACAGATGTCCCTTGTCAGGAATAGAGCGGGGAGGGGTCTGGTGAGGGCAAGGAGAGCTGCTCTCACCTTTGAATTCCTCAAAGATGACCCACAAGAATGTGGGAGCAGTGACTTCATTTGATTCCTGGTTGTCAAATTAAATTTCAACGGAGTCAGAACACAATTAGCAAGATCTAGTAAAATGAGTGAGTCGATGAGAACCACTTGAACACACGGTGGCCAGTGCTGGGAGCCCAGCTTCCTGGGGTGGGGCTGCTCTTGGAAGAGAGGTAAGAGTAGTGAGGGCAAGGTGGGTTCTTTGGGGTCATGTGACTGAGTTCACAGAAATAAATGGCACCCAGTATAACCAATATGTGTTCAAAAAGATCCCACATTTCAAAGCTTGTGGGTTTCCTTCAAAACAGCGGTCGCCAACCCGTGGTCCGTGGACCACTGGTGGTCCGTGAGGTCCGAAAGGTTGGCGACCGCTGCTTTAAGGAAACCTTTGCACTTTTTATTTAATTTTTATAATATATTTTATTGATTTTACAGAGAGGAAGGGGGAGGGATAGAGAGTTAGAAACTTCCATGAGAGAGAAACATTGATCAGAGAGAAACATTGATCAGCTGCCTCCTACACGCCCCTTACTGGGGATCAAGCCTGCAACCGAACCCGGGACCCTTCAGACCACAGGCCGATGCTCTGTCCACTGCGCCAAAATGGCTAGGGCCACCCAATGGCTAGGGCCACCCTTTGCACTTTTTAGACAGAAAACTGCAGGTAGGTATACAAAGTGACTTACAACAAGGTCACGCCCCCTGTGTCTAACCTGCTTCCGTAGTCATATGTGAGCTTTTCTTCTACTGATGGGCTAATGTGGGGAGTTGCTAGTAATGTGGGGAGTTGCTAGTAAACAAGGTATTCACTAAAGGCTTAAATATTTGCCTCTCCTGCCAGCTAAGCTTTAGGCATTTGTGCTAAGTCCGTGAAGACACCGAGATCTCGCTGTGGGATGCAGGTAGTATTTTTGAGGTCTTGGAGCCCAATCCCCGAGGCTTTCTCCCCTACAGTGATCCTGTCCCTCACCCCAAGCCACTCCAGCTGCACTGGGTAGCTCTGGCTTCTGTTGACCTCCATGGCCCTAAATAATGATTTGTGGCCACACGACTTCTCGCTCTGCAAACGTAGTGAGGGAAATGGATGTGTGGCGGTCCCTCCACCCACCCTCGGCCCTGTGCTTCTGACAGCTGGGACTCACATTCAAACAGACTCTGGGGTTCAGCCACGCGGAGATCAGGCCTGACATTTATCAGAACACGCTTTATGAGAATGAATTCCAGGCTTGCAAAACCTGGCAGGCCCGACGGCTGCTCACTCTGCACAGAATATCTCGCCAGCTTTGGAGGAAATCAGCGGCCTTGGTTTTGTAATGAAAAATGACTGGCAAAGGAATCAGGGAAGCAGCGTAGAGGATCGTTGTAAGGTTTCTGTCCTTTTTAAAGACAGGAAAATGTGTCTTCAAGAATCAACTTATTATGGGTTCCCAGCAAACATACCTATGGCTCCCATGTCATCAGCGTAGGGACTTTTGGCTCCCACAATCCCCCCAAAGCATTCTTTCTGGGGCGCACAGTAGGCTTTGTCCAGGTGAGTCTTTCCATCGCTGTCCACCATGCACCACTCGCAGTCCAGCACACCAAAGCAGTCCCTGCCAGAGAGACGAGGCTGAGTGTTCCAGGAAACAGTGCCAGGCAGGGAGGGCACGTGGGCTTGGGCATCCAGCTCTCCAGATGTCCATTACTTACGAGTGCTCTGACTCCTCGAGCATCAGTTTCCTTTCCTTATAAAACCAGAATAGCAACAACCTGCTTTATGTCCCTCAACAACTTGGAAATGAGAGAAAGAAAACTGCTCTCTCTGAATCCAACCATGAAATCCATGCAGCATGGATGAGTGTGGGATTATTTAAAATCATCTTAAAAGACTGAGGGCCCCAAGGTTTGTTGGACTTTGGCCTAACACCACCCAAGTGTCTGGTCATAAAAAAAAAAAAAGAAGGAAGAAAAATATGGTCAAATAACTTTGGGAAATAGAGGTGAGTTAAACAGATTTTCTTACTGTCAATTTCTTAGAGCTTTTAATAAGTTAAGTGTACTATGGCTCTAAAAGAATATATGCAATATTTCTCAAACTTAGTTGACTTTTGGTTACTGTATAACATCCCAATTTATTCCTACCATTCCTCTGCCAAAATCTACACCCAAAGTAGAACTGGCTGCCCTTTCTATCCACTAACTGTTTCATCAAATGGATGTGCAGCTCTCTATATAATAAACGAATCACCTCACTCCCATCCCTTTAGGTTACCACAGCCCCTGTGCTCATACTGTCTAGTCCCAAACACCCTAGGGAGGAGGTGGAAGGAGAAGAGGACACACAGTTTTCAGTCCTCAAAACCACCAGGAAGCATTATCTGCTTTCTAAGAAATAAAATGGCTAAGCTTCAATGCATCACACACAGAACCTTGACTGCCGGGTTCTGGAGCCCATGAGTTCCTGTCCCGCCCTCTTGCGTCTTCATGCCATGTCCCCTCATTCATTTATTTTCACACTTTATCTCAAGTATAACTTTCCCACTCATGTGTCACATACGGTATAAATGCCAAGTAGCTGTAACATGTGAAAACTGGATGAGCTTAAACCTGGTGGATAAATAAAAGGCTTATGGAGTATCAGTTTTGGATCTGAAAAAAACAGATACTACTTTTTAAAACACCAAGAAGACGCATAATAAATACCAACTGAAAAGCTGGCTGAGGCTGCTGGTCACTATACTTTACTGGGTTCTACTCTCCACACCATCACGTTGACGTGAGAGCACCCTGGGCCCTGCTTACCCGCTCTCCATCCTCTGACTGCACCTGCTGTTGACACACTGGTGAAGAGCATCTTGCAGGCCAGGGTCTGTAGCTGTGTATGTCACCGGCTCCTGGTGGACCTCGCAGCTTGGGTTTCTATTCAGGAGCAAGTCTGGAGGTTAGGACCACATACATGCCAAGCTCATCATGCCCCTGGCCCCTATGGTGTCAGACAGATCTGAGTTTGAATCCTGGCTTTGCCACTTAGCTGTATAAAATCTTGGGCCAATCACTTAACTATTCTGAGCTTCAATTTGTTCATCTTTACGTGCAAAAGAAATATCAAAAAATTTAGGAAAGCGTAAATATTCAACGAAATAGGAATACATAAAATCAAAAATGGATGTTACCTCCCCTCACTCACCATTCTAAATCTTACTTGTCAGAAGTAACCACTGTTGTCGGTTTAATGGGGGTCCTTTTATACTTTTTTTCTATGCCTAAATAAACATATACAGTTGACCTTTGAACACACAGGCTTGAACTGCATGGGTTCACTTATGCATGAGATTTTTTTCAGTAAGTACCTGTCATGTTTTTGATCCGTAGCTGGGAGTCTGCAGACACAGAGGGCTGACTCTCTGCATTGTTCTATGGCATTTTATACAGTGGACTTGAGCGTCTGTGGATTTTGGTATCCATGGGGGATCCTGGAACCAATCCCCCATATATATTGAGGGACAACTAAGTTTTTGGGGAGTCAAAAGTTATACACAGATTTTTGACTGTGTGTGTGTGGGGGTGCTGCCCCTAACCCCTGCTTTGTTCAAGGGTCAATTGTACTAATATGCATACACACAATATTCTTTCTTTTAAGTTCTAGAAAAGGGACTTACCACAATTTATTTAACTAGTCTTAAAATTTGTAATTTGACATAAATAATGCTATGTTATGTGTGCACATGTGTGTATTAAATATACCTACATATTTATCACACAGTTAATTAGAAAACTAAGTGACTTAACGTACGTAAAATAAACGCCATAGGGTAGGCCCTCAGCACATGCCTGTAACAGTCTCATATTTTTTGTGTATAGCACATATACTGTTAATCTTCCACAGCATTTACATTTAAACCTGGAAGTGGACCCCATTTTAAGGCGCTATGGAACTTGAAATGTGGCTCACCGAACAGTTAAATCAGAAGAATGAATCATCTTCTTATGCCCCAACCCAAAACAAATCTATAAACAAGACTCACAGCATATATATTGTTCCCAAAAATGTATATATATACTTTGAATAATTATAAAGATAGTGTTTGTTAAAATACATTTCAGTTTCAAAACTGAGCTATCGGCTGTTAAAGTATGTACACCCTTTTTGGGGAACACCCCATATATAGTACATAAATTTTTTTTACCGGTTTTCTGCATTGGTGAGGTTGCCAGTACACTCATTGACCTCCAGAGGGCACTCACAGGGACATTCACATTCGTTTTGTTCCATTCTGCAAAGCAAAGAGAAAGTGACCATGCAGAAGGTCAATAAGAAAGTACATGTTGTTCACATACCAGGGGAAACAAAACAAACCAAACAACACTTGAGCTAGTTAAAATGGACGGTAATGACGAAATGATGACCAAAAGTTTAGATACACAATTGGCCTTAACCCACTGCCCTTTGGATAAGGCTGCTGCAAACAACATAGCTCTAAATCAGTGGTTCCCAAACTTATTTGACCTACCGGACACACACAGCACTTCCTGTTTATTCTGCAGATGCCACTTCGGAACGACTGGCATCAGTTAAATTATTCAACAGCATGATAAGCAGAGACTAGGACCCATAGCATATTTACCGGTGACAGTTGAGGCAGAGTCGATCCACCATGCTACAAGCACAGAAGGCAAGGGAGTCGCACGTTTCGTTGACAATGCCCACAAACGCGTTGGTTCCTGGGATCCTGGCCAGTCTGTACTTAGAACAGTGGCTGCCGTGCACAAGGTTCGTCAAATCCCCCTGTAGACAACCGAGGTGTCAAAAGTGACAGACAACAATGCAAAGACTCAGCCCTACCACGGTGAAAACAACCTCTGAACCATCTGCTGAAAACAGCGTACAATAACACTTTGTCTCTGATTACAAAAGTAGGACATAGTTATGTTAAAATGTTGGAAGATAAAAATTATTTACAATCCCATCATAGATAATGCTCATTTAACAGCTGTATATACATCATTTATTCTTTTAGCTACAATTATAAAATAAAATTTTCATGATTGTTTTTATAATCTGTTCTTTCCTTTTTAACACACAATAATATAGCATACAATGAAAATTAATGCAAGAAGCAATAAAAGACAACTTTCCGGTAAGGAATAGTTCAGAATTTATTCAAAGGCAAACCTAAATAATCAGAAAACAGGCATTTGCACCCTCCCTTTAGATAATAAACATTTGTTCTTTTAGAATAATAAAATTATTTTAAAACCAAAGCCTTTTTAAGAGGCCAGGGTCCTGCTTCCAGAATTGTTAAACAATGCAAGTAAAGCAAGCACCCTTTTCTTCATTCTATAACAAGGAAGTGTGATAGCCAGTTTCTTGAGTTGTCAATGTTGTCACCATATTAGAAAATCAAAGATTCAAAGGTGTCATTGTAACACTGAGTGTGGCCATTTTTGTCTACATGTGTACCCTATGTAGTAGGCCAATTATTTAAAGGCATGCTTGTTTCCATGCCAGCATGCCCTACACGTGCGTGGTGAGGATAAGCCTAACTGAGAGCCGCGGCACTGAATGGGTTCTTAGAGGTCTAGGCAAATTTTCCACTGCCTGGAAAATGCCCGCCTCTACAATATAAGCAATAGTATAGGCTTTGCATCCTGTTAGCTCCAATAGCCAGGAATGCTCCAGGTCCATTTTGGAATAACTGATGCCATTAAGAAATGATCCTAATTCATAGAGGGGTTGGCAAAAGCAGGTTTACAGCTGTGAGTACGTAAAACATAGTTTATTCTTGCATTATTATTTATTAATTATTGTATTATTTTCCATGTGAAATCTTTGTACAAATGATAGTAGATACCGGGTAAGTTAGACTTCCATAGGACAACCTTCCCTGGCAGCTTCCTTCTGACTACGCTCAGGTTTGTCAATGTCCCCTCTGGAGAGCGCGCTCCTCAGAATGACATGGGCTCTGAACGGAGGAATAACACTTTTCTTGTTCTGAACACACTCTCCTTTTCACATATTCATTTAAAAAATTCTTCTGTTCCTCCAGAAAACTGTTTTTGCTGTTGCTTTTTTTGAGACTAAGTAGAATTAGGATTTTCATTTAAGCTATCATATTTTTAAAATCAATTTTAATTATACATTTAGTGATGTAAATATCTATTTCAAATAAAAAGCTTTCTTCTTTTGGATAACTTTTTGTTTTAATTGTTGGTTCCAACGTTACCTGTTTTAGTGCTCACCCAGCTAGGATTACTTACAAATTTATTTAGGTAAGTTTGCAGTCCCTCAAATCATAGAGTATTCTAAGCTAAAGAAAAGAAAGGACTTTTGGGTGATGTACATGAGAACTCCCATCTTACAGGGTGGAAGACCAAGAGCTGACCTAAGTTAGCTTTACAAATTTCAGGAGACGGAGTGATGTCTAGAAGACAGGAAGAGAGAAACACGATGCCGCATGTATTCAGACGAGAGAGTGGGACAGGCGTTAGCAGACATTCAGTGTCTTTAAGCAAACAACACTGAAACAAAATACCCAGTGGGAGCACTTACAACAGTCACTTCTCTACTCTGGGCTTTATATGCCACCGTTGTCATACTGGGGGGCTGGACTCGGGTCCTGTCCTGTCATTCTATAATTCTAATTCAATGGAACATCCAAGAGCAAGATAAACATCACCATTATTCTACTTTATATTCCATAGTGGGAAGGGATGCGTGAGTGTTAAGGAATAGACTTACCACAAGGCTAGTGTTGAACTTGTAAAACCTCTGTACTGTCCTGTCACTGAAGCTGTTGCACAAGTTTTTCTTGACGAAGTTGGGGTGGTTCAGGATGTCATTTGCTACCAGGGGCTCCTAAGAAGGCCAAGCAGAAGACACAGGCCACGTAATTAATGAGCTGCAGGCTGCGGGAGAGCTGAGCTACCCGCTTCGCAACAAATACCTTGTGGGTGATGTGCTGCTGTTCCACAGGCGCGTGGCCTTTGGGGTCAATGAGGGTCGGATGTGCCACCAGGTAGCCCCTGTCCTCCATGATGAAGCACCTGCACCAACACAAGTGACAACCCTCAGTCGCTGGAGCGGTTTTTCTGTGCTTTCACAGAGCATTGGTCTGGCTAGCCCTAAAACAAGTTGCATGTATTCCAGGTTCTCAATAAATATTCATTGATAAAATGGAAGACGACTGGCAGTCAGGTAAACAGGTACATCCTTCTTGGGGGGTGGGTCAGTTAAAGATGAGAGCATTACATCTGCCTCTGACGCCACCTACAGTTCATACAGAATGTGACCACCCAGTCCAAGGAAGATGGGCTCGAAGATCTTTGGCAAGGATGTATAAGTAAGAGGTTAATTCTTTATTTTGGGGAGGGAGATTCTGAAAAGAGTGGCCTTGAATGTTTACAGGCACACACTTGAAGTAAACCATACAATTTCTCCTTTCGATGATAAGCATACATAAAATATGACATTCGGGAGGCATAAAAAATATATTGAATGGAAATACTAAATAAGTAAAGCCAGAACTGCTTTAATCAAGACTATATTCTGCTCTATTTTACTCTACACTCTTCAAAACAATTTGCCATGAATCCTGTACTTCCCCATTAAGGGCCAATGTGAATCTTAGCGGTGATATGAAGCATGGGTCATGAGATTGAAATAAGAACGCTATTTTTAAAAGTGGCCTGCATTAAATCAAGGGAATGCCTTTGCTTTGATCAGACATGTTCTTTTGAAATTCAGGCAGAAAAGACTTTTAGTTCCATGAGCCTCTTTCTGGGGAAATGTGAAAGGAACAATCTAAGCATCTGAAATATCTCACAAGGACTTTGGTTTAATAACTAAGTTAACATCAAAAGTGCTACCCAAGAGTACCCTCTGGTCTTTCTAACACCCCAGACATAGGGACCCTCTAATTACTGACTTCTAACGAAACAAGAGCTTTCAGAGAATCCTGTGCCACAGTTATTCTCTCTGTTATAAGCCAGGTCTGTTTGTCTAAATCACAACTGGCGTCTCAGAAAAACTTTCTTAATAAAACACTCAGACCACGGATTCAATTTCTGGTCCTGACCATGACACTGTAGTTGCCATTCAACTAGAGAAACCTGACATCATTTTCCTTGTATTTTGCAGCTAGGAAGGAAATGGTGCCCCCCAAAAGCTTACCTTATTTTGTTGCCGCCATCTTGGTTACAAACAGGCAATAAGTCCATCAGAACCTTGTAGAAGTATCTAAGCGTGAAGTCAATGCCCATCACAGCCACAGTGTGACCAGAAGACATCTGTGTACTTCATGTGAACAAGATCAAAGAGAAGAGGAGGCATGGTTATTTAAAGGTAAAAGCCACGCTCATCATAAGGACATTGTGTGGTATAAGAAATGCATGCCTACTGTTCCTCCACACTTTCCATCCCTATAAAAACCATCAATTAAATGACTGACCTAGCATAACATGGAGATGTGATGAGAGGAAAAGTTAGGACGAAAGGTAGAAGTTTCTAAAAAAAGAGACCAGCCCAAATAAGGTGCAGCTGTGGAATACGGCTAGTCCTGACTACAGATGTTCAGACAATGACTGGACTACTCTTTGGCAAGAACATGAGGGTGGGAGGGAATAGGTATCAAGTAGCAGGCTGGATGCATGGCTACTATGGTTCCTCACAACTAGGAACCTATAGACAAGGAGCCTGAGTCATCCCCTTAATTATAGGTAGAGAAGCTGAGATCTCCCAAAGGTTAACTGACTAGTGTTAAGGTCACAACAAATTTAGTAAAAACAAGTTTTCTTTCTATAATACTGACGCTGGCTCCATGCAAAACACAACTCATATTTTAGAACAAGACTTTCCTGGTTCATAGGCCAGATCTTTCACCATTCGAAAATGCTAGTCTCAAAAACAGGAGTGCCAAGGAAGACAAAGTTGGGCAGTACAACATGGTGCTACCCTTTTAGCTCTGGAATCAAGCAGATCTGGGATCAAATCCTGGCCCTGTTGGTTTCTATCTTTGTGGCTCCTGGGACAATACTTCACCTTTTAAGCTTCAGTTTTCTCATCTGAAAGTGGGGATAATTATCTATTTCATAAAGCTATTAAATGAGGTAGTATATTTATAGTACTTAGCAAGCTGCCAAACATATAAAAAAATACCCAATAAGGTGTTTTAGTAAAAGTTATTCTAAAAAAAAAACTATATAGGACTTAAAACTCAGCTGTGGACAGCATGAATTCATTATTCTTTCAGAGGAATTGCTGGATATGTATCAGAAGCAATGGCTTCTCACTTGGAACCTAGGTTCTTCTTAATCTATGTCCACGAGCAGTTGAAAGGGCTTGGTTACGTGGCCCCTTTTGTGGCTGGGAGTTTTCAAGGTTTACCCAACATGGCACATTCCAAGAGTCCATAATTATCATCATCCACCCAACTGATTGATCTCTTTATAAAGAAAACACCAAAAGAAAAATGGCAATGCTATTGACAAAAATCTTAAAAATTTTAATTGGAAAGTTCAGAAGGAACTTCCCCAAGCGAAATCCTCTTTTGGAAAATCAGAATTTGGGAGTGAAATTAGCCTTGCCATATAGATAACTGACTCCTTCTAGTTACTGTCAACATTGAAACTAACTTATATCACCCCAGACCGCATCCCCATTCCAAACCCCCTCCCAAAAGAACCACTGGAAAAAAGGGACCATAACCCATACTAAAATTTCTATCAGAGTTTTGCTATCAAAGTGTGTTTGGCATGGGATGGGGGAGGATCGTGTGGGATTATCTTTGAGAGGGTATTGCCTCAATAAGAGCCTCATTATTACTGAAGTAACTTAAATTCCACCGTGAAAGAAATCAATGACTTAATACCTTACATGGGATTTGTGCTTCATAGCAAATGTTTTCCTGGAGAATCAGTCAAAAGAAATTTAAACCTCTTTTGGCTGTCCAGGAGAGTGATGAGTCTAAATAACAGCCACCATTACGATAATAGTAACAGCTTCCATTTACTGAATAGTCACAACTGATAGGCACTCTGGTATCATTTCAATGATGTCTTCACAGAAAACTTATGAGGCTTTATCGTTTCTAGGAAACTGAAGCTTGGGAAGATTAAGTATTTGGCCGAAGTCTCACAGTGAACGACTAGTGGAAGCAGGAATTTAAAGTCAGTGTCTGCAACTCCAAAGTATATAATGCCCCTAACCATTAGGTGACACTGTCTCCTTAAGAGGTTCCAAGCAATTTTACATGATCTATTTCATCTCCTGCAAAGATGTCAGAAAGGAATTATAGTTCCTACTTAATAAATGAAAAATTAGGTTTAGAATGGTTAGAAGACTTAAACAAGATTGATCACCTTTTATTTATGATACAGAGTCCAGTATGGAAATCTGGCTCTTTCTACACTACTTCAGCTGCCTCAGTAAAAAATACAACTCAGTTTTTTTGGGACAAGTTAAGATGATGTCCTCTGTTTGACTGTCATCTGCTCCAATATGATCCACACGCTGAAGTAAAAGCATGCATATTGCCCATGTAAGTCTAACATTCATATTTTACCTGCATTTCAAAAATGTACACTGTTACCATAGCAACTCTCAAAGATTACCATAGAAAAATCAAACCACGCTGACATTTCTACGTACAATAGACCATGCTGTTTGTGAGATTTTCTCTGCCAAGGACTCAAATAATCAGTCCCTAATCACTGACTGTACTTCATCATCTTTATCAGCATTATCATTCTCCAAAGAGGCACACCTCAATTCTCAGGCCACTAATGATGTTCTTGGAAGAATCTGATAAGTGAGCATTGAGTTAGAAAAGCTCCTCCTCAAGCTATCAGCCAAACCACTGCCATAAACCAACGATAAATGACGACGCCTCCTGATAAGCTGAACATCAGCTTAAATTCTCTCCTCTGACCTATGAAAATGCCAGAAATTTAAAGCACGCATGGAATGATGATCAAAATAACTGCCATTTATTTGGGATTCGATATTGTCAAGTAGAGGGCTAAGCATTTTACACACATCACCTCATTCAACATGGGCATTATTGTCTGTTGTGCATACGAGGCCAGGAGGTCAGGGAATAATAGCAATAAGTATATAACATGTATTGAGCCCTTACCATGTGCCAGGCACTGTTCTAAGAGCTTCACATGCATTATTTAATGTAATCCTTGAAGAATCTTTTGAGATAGAACCAAATATTCCTTTCATAGGTTAAGAAACCAAGGCAAGAAGGAACTTGTTTATAGTCATACAAATAGGAAGTGGCAAATCTACTTTTTTAGAGCAGAATCAGATCTGAGGAGGAGGTTAGGCTCTCAAGCTGGCACATCAGGCCAGATTCACTAGCAATTATTTGAGAAAAACTGCCTTTGCAGAGAGCCCATCTACCAATACATCCATTAAAGCTACAGAGGCTTTTCTTGAGAACCAGAAGAGGTGGTTGACTTGCATGATAAACTGTGTTGAATGAAAAGTACATGGCTTTAAGTAAGAAAAGCACGCTCAGCTGAGAAAAATGTTCAAATAACAAGTCCCCAAGACTGTACATTGATCAAGGCAAGAGCGGGTACTTATTCCTGGAATTCATTCTCACTGAGGGACTGGTGGACAGAACCCAGGATTTAAACGGCCATTTAACTCTTGCTACACTCAAATAACTAACCTTATATAGTTTAAACACACTCTAAAAACTAACCAAAATAAGGAAATTGAATGCAGGTATTTCTCATTTGAAAGCCCATCACATTTCCATCATGCTCCATTTGGACCAACACCGTAAATATTTATAAGTAAACTCAATGGAAATTCTTCCACCCATTCAAACCCCAAGAAAAACATGTATATGTGCACATGCACATGAGCACAAAAACCTGCACCTTCCTGTGGCAACCCCACTCCACCAACAAAAGGAATACTGTATAGAAGGTAGAAGGAAGAGCTAAGGGGTGTGGATGAGTGGCCAGGTGGGACAAGCCTGATGGAACGCCAGAGACTAAGGAAGAAACACACGGGTCGTTGTTTGCGACCTGCCTCCCAATAATATCCTTCAGAGCCCATTCCATTGTCCTCAAAGGCCAAGGTGACTGCTGTCCCCTCAAAGAAATCACCTTTGTTTACTTTTTCTCAACTGATCAGTGTAGGAGGGATGCCAAGCCTTGCTATTCAGACAATAGTAGGCGTTTGCCTAGCAGATGGTCTGTTAATGAAAGCATGGAAAAAAATGTGTTCTAACTGAGCGTTTCCTTGTTTACATGTGAAATATTATATGATGGGAGCAGCTGATTGAGCCAAACAGATACAGTGCCCTGCAAAGGAATCAACACTTGGCTGGCGGCAGGGCCCCGCTTTCCACGGAGACACAGGTCATGATTGAAATTCCACACAGAGCTGCTTCCAAATTCTTACTCCCAATGAACCTGCCTTAGAAGAATTTACCGAATGTCAATCACTTGGTATATAATGAGCACCAGTGAGAAGCATAAGGTTGAGCAAGGAAATCTGTCTCCCATAAATTTTAAGGTATCATTACAGGTACTCGTCAAAATATGGTCTTTCTTGGTCACTAGGGAAAAACAGCTATTTGTATAATGAAGGGATTAAAACAGTTTAATGTATTTGACTTGCCTCTCCACCCAACATTTCACTGACATTTGTAGTTTAAATACTGAAACTTCAAAAGCAGGAAATATACAGCACCCTAAATACATTTACAGTGATACTGACATTTTATACCATTCCTGGAAAATCAATTTTCAAAATGCCTTTTTATTTTTCAGGAGGCAGTGGGAGGACAAAATAAAAACAACAGACTCCTATATGGTTCTAGAGTTAGACTGCAATACAAGAGGAAATAAATGTGATGTCTTGATACTTTTCTCCCTTCACTCTGGTGCCGTGTCACATATAAAAATTTTTTGATATTTGCAACCATAGTAAAACAAAGACTTATATTTTTGATATTTATTTTATATATTTAAATGCCATTTAACAAAGAAAAATCAACCAAAAAAATGAGTTCGCGTGTCACCTTTGACATGCGTGTCATAGGTTCGCCATCACTGTTCTAGAGTTAGACTGCAATACAAGAGGAAATAAATGTGATGTCTTGATACTTTTCTCCCTTCACTGAGAACGCTCCCTTCTTTCAGAAACACTCTCTGGTAATGATTAATTGTCAGGCTCCTATTGCTATTTCTTTGATTGGGGTAAGCCTGGCATTTCTACAAACTGCTCTAGTGAATCTAACATCCTTCTTTTTCTTCTTCACAAGCATCATCCTGGCTGCCAAGAACAGGGTAAGAGCTTTTCATGACTCTACCACGATAGCCTTGTGAGGTGGTATTATCCCCATTTTACAGATGGCAGAGGGAAGCCCAGGGAATCCGAGAGGACACGGCTAAAGAAGACACTCAAGCCCTGGCCGGTTTGGCTCAGTGGCCAGAGCATCAGCCTTCGGATTAAAGGGTCCCGAGTTCAATTCTGGTCAAGGGCACATGCCCGGTTGCGGGCTCGATCCCCTGTAGGGGGCGTGCAGGAGGCAGCTGGTCCATGATTCTCTCTCATCATTGATGTTTCTATCTTTCTCTCTCCCTCTCCCTTCCTCTCTCTGTAATCAATTAAAACATTTTAAAAAAAGACAATCAAACCTCAGCTTGCTTCACTTCAAAGGCCACGCTTTTGCCATTAACCTATTTAAATTTTCAAAATACCCTTGCCATGTTCAAGAAATGACTAAGAACTAATGAAAATATTACCTGGATGAATGAATTGTATGGCTAATAGTCACCACGTAGCCAGCTCCTCCAACATCTAAGTAAGGGCCAGTCAAGGAAATCAACCCTGGATTAGCTACTGCATGGAGATACCTAGTAGAGACCAAAGAAAGTTACATTACTTTAGGATATGAACAACTCTGTGAATTCCAAAGAAAAGGGAGCTGGTAACTCAAAAAAATGTTTATGGGGGACTGGGTGAAAAAAGTGAAGGGATTGAGAAGTGCAGATTGGTAGTTAAAAAACAGTCATGGGGATGCAAAGTATAGCATAGGAAATATAGTCACTAACGTTGTAATAACTGTGTATGGTGCCAGGTGGGCACTGGAAATATCAGGGAGAACACTTTGTAAAGTATAGGATTGTCCAACCACTACAATGTGCATCTGAAGCTAATATAAAATAATACTGAATACAACTGTAATTGGAAAAATAAGTTTAAAATGGTAAAAGTATTTACTATAAATAGTGCCTATGTTACAATAAAATTCAAAAGGGTTCATATCTTTTATGTCTGACCATAGTAGCATCAACACAAGAGGTCAAGAAAATCTAAAATTCTCCTTTAAAAAAGATACGGAACTCAGGATATGTCTGAGCTTTTAACAAGACCTATAGTCTAGATCAGTGGCACCCAAACTTTTTTTTGGCCATGCCCCACCTAAGCATCTCTAAAATCCTGATGCACCCCGTGACATATAATTCTTATTATTCAAAAAGCGAACCCCTGTTCATGTGGAAGAAGTCTAACCATTAACTTGATCTAAACAAGCTTCCAAAGAACACGGCATCCATGAAAGAGAAAAATAAAAGAACGAAAGGACAGTTGAAGTACTGAGGAAGAAATCACTAAGAAATTGTTAAATAATAATAATAATATGAAGTGATATGAAAAAATAGCAAATAGTTTCAAAACATATAATAGAGAACTGAAATGCATAAATATGTCATAATACATATTTATATGCTGTTTACGAGGCCCCTAGAACCATAACAAATGCAAAAAATTCACTGTTAATACCTCTCGAATTGCCCCTCTTAAAAGTCAAATTGCCTCTCTGTGGGGCGGGTGCCCCACCTTGGGAACCACTGGTCTATATGTTTTAGAGGCTAAAATAAAAATAAATTAATGAATGAAGTAGAAACAAATACAATTGGGCACATAAAAATGCATCCTGGATTGGGAAGGGCGGGGAAACAGGCAGTGAAACAATAGCCGACTCATGAGTGACCAAGCAGCACAAGACTAGAAATCTTGTTTTTATGCCCCAATTGCTCCCCTGCTATACCACCTGACTAGCATTTGTTTTTGAAAATCAGAGAAAAAGAAAGGCCAGAAGTAAAAAAAAAAAAAAAGTTTTTGAATTCATACTTGTTTATTTTCCATAGGTCATACCTGAGCTGTAATTGGAAGCCATAATCATGCGCAGTGACATTAAGTATACCCACTACAGACACACTGCACACAAGGTAGAATCCAACGAACTACTAGGAATGGAAATGGCTGAGCATAAAGCATTTCAGTCTCAACATTTCAATGAAGAGATAAAAACACTGTACACAGAGGAAACCCACAAAGCTGTTGTTAGTACATTAAAAACAACAACACACTATTCAAAAACATGTTTTCACTGCCATGAAAGTACCTTCTTTAGTGTGACCGCCTGAAGTTGCTTTATAGTATGTACTTATCATGTCTCTCCAGGGTTTGGGGGGGAACCTTTGATAATGGAAGCCCCGAAAACTCACCATTGTCTCCTAGTGGGATCAAATGCTTTGTCCATGAGGGAACCAGGATAAATTCTGAGGACGCCATTGGGCGTTGCTATGTAACGGCGGACAATGTAAGTGTTCAGGCTACTCATTTCCATTTGTGTCATCCATTCATCTGTGACGTGGCTGGTAGCCATTACTTCATTTCTGACAGAGAACTGGGAGACAAAGGAAGACATAGCGGGGATCCTTTAAGACGCACATGAAAGGAGAGGGGACCGCTGGCAACGCTGCCCAGCGCTCTCTGGCAGGGAAGCCAGGCCCAATTACTTCTTCCAAATCTTGCCCCAACAGATGGGCACAGCCACACTTGGGGGTGGATGTGGCAATGGGATTTACTCCATTGTTCATCCTAGCGAGGCTTTCTGCATTTAAGAGGACAGATCCTACGGAAGCACTACACACACACACACACACACACACTACACACACACACACACACACACAGCAGCTAAATCTCTGCTCCTTAAACGTCATCATAGTGATCTCAACAGACAGTAGGGGCACTTTTCTTCTCTCTCCTGGGAAAAACAGGCCTGGGAAAGTGTCACTGGTCTCTAACTCACACCCCCCCCCCCCCTACCCCCAGGAAAACCCCTCGTGCATCTAAGGCCTGAAAGAGCTTGTTCATCTGGCTCCCGGGCTTCTTCATCCATCAGAAGGGGCATCACCGTCAACCTCCCCCGGCCACATGCTGTCTTTCTGGCTCTCCAGCCGAGAGGCACAGATCCAGGCCTGGGCTTCCCACGTCCAAGGTTCACAGTCAGCAGGTCCTCCAGGCCTGGGCACAGGGCACCCCGGGATGGGGCCCCACGCCAGCACTCACTTTGAGCCCCGGGTTGGCAATGAGGCGGGTGTTGTCACTGAGGTAGGCTGTGTAGTGCTCCACCATGCGCTTTGTCTCGGGCTGGCTGAGGTGCTCGTAGGGGGAGGAAAAGCTGCCAGCAGACAGCATGACGGTTGGACTCTCTGAAAGAGAGCAGACAAAGCAGGCCTGAGAATGCCGGGCCTTCCTCTCAGGCCCCCACAGAAGCACCCCTAAGGCCCTGCCACCCTGTCCGCCGTGGGGGCTTAGAGTCTCCCAGAGGAAAGCAAAGAACTCGACGTGGGGCTACAATCATGAGCGAACCAGAGGAGATACACATACAAATATATGCAAGTGCCTGATATGTGGTCTGGCCAATGTGCAAAATGCCTGAGAGATACACATGATATACGTATGAGGATCGAGGAGGCAGCACAGGACATGGAGCCAGACTGGGTTGAACCTGGGCTCCACCGTTTCCCGGCTGCGTGATGTTGGGCAAAAGTTGTACTATATGTGGTGTTTTTATCATCTGCAAAGGGCGGCGGGGGGTGGGGAGGTGGGGAGGTAAAATAACTGCACCAACCTTACAGAGTTATGGTGAGAATGATATCAGCTAATATACTATGTAAAGCAAACAAGTTAAATGTAAAGCACGCAGATCGGTGCTCAGCACACGGCTAGTGCTCACAGTGCTCACTATTATTGTTCACCCTGGTATTAGTATCGAGGAAGGAAAATGGAATATTGGAGTCAATGCAAAAATAAAATAAAGTAAGATCCTCACAGACGGGTACAGCCAAACTCAGCATAAACGAAAGCCTGTAGAAAGGTAGTAGTTACCTAGACGTATGTCATTGTTGATCCTATCTAAGAGGAAAAGCCCTGCTCTCTATTAAGACAGAAATGCTCAGTGAATTACATGATAAATCATGAACACTTCATTTTCGGCTTTGAAATTTTTCATTGTTCATTCTTATTTTTAAAAGCTTTAGAATCCTGTGTCCTATCTCATTTAAATCTATGGGTCACTTTCTATTCCTTTTGTTAGTTCTCAGTCATGGTGTCCTGTTTCCTTGTGGCCTAGTTATTTCTGACGGTGCTGGACGTTAGACAAATTAGTAAGAATAGCTGAGGCCTAACAGGACGGGAATACCTTCCTCCAGAGAGGAATGTTGTGTGATTCTGCCAGGTGCCCCTCCCGAAACTGGCACTGCAGGCCTGCACATTTTTAAAAAATTCAAACTGATATGTATGGCGAACTGTTATGAGTAAGACCACAGAGGAAGCTGAGCAGTGCAAGACTTTACCTAGAGTGGCCAGCTGTTTGAAGTGGAGGCAAGCACTGGGCTGGCCCAGGAGGTCCAGCCGGTGGTACAGCAGCTTGCTGCTGGGCACGGTGTTGAGGTTCTTCAGTTGTCTGACAGGTATTTCTGGTTGTATCACCACAATACAGAGAATAAAGGAAGTGTCTTGTACCTGAAAAAAATTGATAGAGAATTTCTAATACAGAAAATGAAGGTCCCTGCGAATTCTGCTCTTCTATCCCACATGGAAAAATATTTGATGAGGGAATGACAGACATGAAGATGGGGTGATAGACACTATTTCTGGCAAAAGATTACATTTTATGTTTCCTATTTTCCTTTCTTACAGAAAGAAATGAATGTATGGGACAGGAAATCACAGAGCTAATGAAGGGATTAGAATCTCAAACTCGAGTCCCTTTGACACAGCGACCCCAGCCCTCCTTTGCTTATTTAAGCAGGAACATGGCATGAGAACACGACCGTTATGGGGTTTGAGATGCATTAAAAAATACATAGTTGCTTTTGCAATGAGTATTTTTATAAAATATATTTTTATTGATTTCTGAGAGGAAGGGAGAAGGAGAAATAGAAACATCAATGATGAGAGAGAATCATCAATTGGCTGTCTCCTGCACACCCTACACTGGGGATCGAGCCCACAACCTGGGCATGTGTCCTGACCGGGGATCAAACTGTGACCTCCTGGTTCATAGGTCGACACTCAACCACTGAGACACGCCGGCTGGGCACAATGAGTGTTTTTAGAGCTGCCTATTTTAAAAGCAAATTATGACTCCACATACACAGCCCATACCAAATCTGATTTATTCATTATATTCTCCACTTTCTCTTTGCTTGGTTGGAGATGACCAGGATCTCCCACTCATGACAAGTACACATCCTGTGACTCCCTCACAAAGACGCCTGACCTGCCACTCCAGCCCAGGGGAAGCAATGTGCTGTAGCTTAGCCTAAACTATTACGCGCACACATCAGAGCACTTTCAAATGCACGTTGCTCCTAGAAATGAATGCTCGCCTAAAATTTGTTAGGAAATTGTCCACCAAAGTAGCAAAGGCAAGTCGAGCTATTAGTCCTTGCTCCTTAACTTAAAAACAGCAGAGAGCCAAACTACTTAAGTCTATTACATCAGGAGATGGATGGAATCTATTTAAAAGGTAGCTTGCAAATAAGTGAAAAGAGTGATAACCAGCTAAGTCAGAAATAACACAGCTCAAAGGGTTTACTTAATGACCACGGAGAAAATGCTAACGAGGCAGGTTAAGTGTAATTTAGGGTTTGTGAGGATGGTGGCAGACTCTTTTTAAACACGGGAGAAATCTGCCTGTCCCTGGTATTGCTTTCAAGTACCCCTGCCAAGGATGTTCAATTAGATTCGCAAACTGAATCCTTTTCCTCCACCCACAAAATTAGAAAATGACAGGGTGTTCTGAAGGGGCATCTACGCCTTCCCCTTTCCCTTTTCACTGAGTCATCCTTCGAGTTTGTTTCCTGGGTTGCGTGTTCCAAGGAACCAAAAGATAAATACTTTGCTGACGGGCCAGAATATCATTTTATAATTGTGTCTATTCTGGAAGAGAAAAATAAGAAGTTACCCAAGTCTTGGACCTATTGGGATTATCACTTCATAAGGTATATACATGTCGAATCACCAGGTTGTTACACCTAAAACCAATATAATGTTGTATATCAACTGTAATTAAACAATTAGAAAAAAATTAAAGACAAAGTTACCCCAGAATGCTTTATAACTATTTATGTTTATAAATAGTTCTTAACTAGAAAGGAAAACAGATTTCAACACAGGCCTTTCTATTGTGTTCTCATCAGGACTATGATGCACCCAGAGAGGCTCCCCATGACTGGGAGTGGTTTTCTCACTGAGTGTCCATGGGATTCATGTTTTGAAGGGAAGCAAGGCTGTGCAGTACAGGAACACTGTGATACCGTCTTATAGTCCGTACTTCCTTCCATCCCTCGCAGCATGCAGCCTCCTCAAATGCTTGAAGATGGACTTGGGTTCCACAGTGACAGAGTCGTAATCTCTTAACACTCCTAACATAATCCCTCGTGTTCCATTTAAATTAGTTCCGTGAAATAATCCATCCATATCTGTCCGCTACATGTATGGATGCTAAGCAATGTAACCAATTATTCTCAGCATGAGCTAAGTCTATTTGGATTATATTTAGCAGAGGAATTCATTTTATTCCCGAGGACACGATGAACACCTTCTCCCTAAAGTAACTCAAATGTAACTAAAAAAAATATTTACTCTTCCTGCTGGGTAACCAGGCCAGTCTTTTAAACTCTCATTATTTATTATTACCTCTTTCATTTTTCACTTAATAGTTATGTTATTGACAATTTCAGAACTCTGAGAACTATCTGAAGTGATTTCATGATTACACCTATTTGGCGGAGCAGAATGGCCAGAATTTACCAGTATCACTGAAAAAATAACAACATCTATCTTAAGAGGATAATACTTTTTTCAAAAAATGTTAACACTGGGTTTATTTACTCTACGAAGAAGGTTTTAAAGAATGCCTACGTTTCCTTCTTTCTCTTTCAATGCCAACACATATAAAGGTAGATATTTTCCCAGGATATAACTGAGTTGCTTTCAATCAGGTTGCACTGCAGGTAACCAATCTCCAATTTCAAATATAAAAGTATTTTTCAGTGAAGTATTCTGGTGTCTGGCTCACCTTTTCTGATGTGAAAATTAAACAATTCATCCTTATTTAAAAACTCTATTAATATAAAAAATAAGGGCAGATGGTCCAATCATTCTCAAAAAAAATTCCTGAAGATGAACTGACTCAGAATTTCAGAAAGATTTTGACCTTTGTCAAATCTGTACTATCCTATATAATAAAAGCCTAATATGCTAAGTGTCTGGTCGTCCGTTCAACCAATCAAAGCATATATGCTAATTATATGCTAAGGCTGCTCAACTGCTCGCTATGACATGCACTGACCATTAGGAGGCAGACAGTAAACCTTGTCGCTATGACGTGCACTGACCACCAGGGGGCAGACGCTTGACTGGTAGGTTAGCTTGCTGCTGGAGATGCCCTGGAACCCTCCCGCGGTCCCTCCCCAGCTGGCCAACTTCCCGAGTCCCTCCCTGGCCCTGATCATGCACTGGTGGGGTCCCTCGGCCTGGCCTGTGCCCTCTCGCAATCCGGGACCCCTCAGGGGATGTCGGAGAGCCAGTTTCGGCCCGATCCCGCAGGCCAGGCCGAGGGACCCAACTGGTGCACGAATTCATGCACCAGGCCTCTAGTCAAACAATAAAATACCAGTAGGATTAGGCTTATAAATGTACGTTTCTCAAAAAGTTTTATTCAGTATTTTGTTGCCTTTTGTTTCCAATGTAGAAATCACTGCTGCCATTATGATGCTTTAAGAACCAAATGAGAAGGTTAGAGGAGAGTCATGTCTAAACCACAGTGGCTACTCCTAATCCTTGTGATTCCTAAGCCAGACACAGACCTGTCTGAAGCTGTTTAATTGTCTGCATCCACCACTAGGCTGGACGCTCTATGAAGGCAGAGAGAGCATCATTCTTTTTCATTCTTCTTAGCTCATAATAAACGTTCAGTAAGAAGTTCTTAAAGGGATGAATAAATAGCCATTTGGAATCAAAAGGTTAAACACCAGATTTGGCCAACCAAAGGAATCCAGGATGACTGCATTTGAGGTTTAGTAATTGAAATTTGATGAAAAAAATACAAGTCCACTCTTCCTTTGGTCAATTACAATATCAAGGCCCCATAACAGCATGTTATGGTATGCTTCCAAGAGGGAGTTAAGGACAGGAACATAAATCATACGGACAGTGTGTTTTAGATTCAATTTCTTTGTGGCGCCCTGACTGAGGCTGGTAAAAAAAAAAGCTGAAATGGGTACCACACGTTATGGCTAATGTGTCAACGCACTTGTGATGAATGTGAATTATCCAAATTCTAATATGAAAGTTCCTTTCCCTTGGAATATGTTAGCAGAGGGCATTTATGATTTCATATCTCTTTTTTAAATTCCCAACTTCCACAATTTGAATTTAAAATGATAAAAATTCACTGGATATAACCTAAATGTGCATACATAAGGGACTGTTAAAAAAAAACTGTGTTCATTTATATAAATTACATAGCCATTAAACGTGCATGCACACTAACATAGACATGTACACTGATCTATATGCCTGTGTGTGCATAAAAATTTTCTGGAAATTGACCAAAGTGATTCTTTACGGGGAATGGGAGGTCAAAGCCAGGAGGGAGGGAAGGGCACAGTTTACTGTCTACTGCATATTCAGTTCGATTCATTTATCATGAATAATAACTGGTTTCATAAATAAAAAAGGGAAAAAATTATAAAACATCTGGAGTATCTCTTCTTTTTCCAACCACTTTAAAACTGATTGGTAACATGATCCGACCCAAGGTCCCTGGAATTCCTGTACCCATGGCTGCTCAGGCAACGGCGCGTCCTCTCACTCACCATCTTCCAGGCGTAGCTAACGTTGTACGCCTGCTTCCCGGTCTCTCTCAGCTTGTTTATGTGCCAGGACAGGGATGAGTTCACAGGCACTGCGATAATCTGACTGCCCAGAGGGAGGCTGCGTTGGCAAACAGAATGAAATATTTCAGGCCAATGATAAAATGAAGCACTTAATTAAAGGCTGGGAAGAAGCTGTGAGTCAATGGCCACCTCCTGAGTTTGAAAAGCAATGAAGCTCATCACTTTTGAAAGAGATAATGTGAGATTTTCAATTTTGTAAAACTATGCTGTCGGCTCTGCACTAAAAACATTCCTGACTCTCTACCCCTGCACCCCCGCCCCCCAATTCTAATTCTTTCCAGAAATGATGTTGTCTCAGATCACTCAGTTATTACTTTACAACCAATGAGCACAAAGACCCGTTTCTCTATAGGTTACCATCTGCCAAAATAATGGATCATGGTTGGAAAAAATCCAACCTGTTCTTTATTTCAAGAGAAAATGTTGTGTATGATGGTGCTGTCAACTTGGAATGGACACTAGGTTGCCAAGATATTTTCTGGCATGTGGGAGAGCTGGGCCTCAACTTCACCTTTCATTTTGCCAGCATTTTTCAACTTGGTACAATGGGAGTATTCTTTTTAAATGAGATAACATATATCTGATTTTACAATTAAAGGCAATGTAAACACAGAATTTGATTTACAAGACATTTCTCCTAAATAACAGTTCTAAGAGACCTTACCTATTATTCAAAGTAAACATATTTTTGGCTATTATTCTTAGGAAAAAAATTACTGAGTATACTTTTGATAACATTAAAATAATTTATATACTTGTTTCATATCCTGTAATAAACACTCATATTTGACCTCAAAGGATACTATTCTCAGAGAAAATCAGTACGACAGCCCTCACCTTTTCCTTACCTTAGAATATTTTGCCGAACCAAGTCAAATTTTGGGATATTTTCATAATGAATGATGTCAGTGTGAAGAGGGGGTTCTGATAGTAAATATGGCCTGGTAAGAGATGGGTGCATAAGTGTATATCCTGAAATAAGAAAACAAAGACACAGGCTATGGAAAACATGTTGTAGGAAGTAGTGAATCTAATAAAGTGCCTATCGTAGGTTTGAAATATGGAATAGTCTGGGACGGCTGCCCAACACTCAATTTCTCAGTATGTAACTCACCAGTCCAATAAAAACTGAACTTGTTTTATGTGTTCTTGTATAAAACTCCTGAAGTGTAGAAAGATGTCTTAAATTATCGGACATCTGTTTAATCAAGACTATTTTGGAGGTACTGGTCATTTGGTTTTCATTTTATGAAATGTCCTGATCTATCATATAAACCTTAGTGCTAGTAAACCCAAAGATAACAATATAGACCAAAAAAGTCCAAAGGATCACATTCTGTGTGTCATTCAATCCTCAAGTCTAATTTCCCGACGTTACAAATAACTGTTACCTACCCCTCCACACAACAGAGGAACATGTGCACACTGTTTGGATTCATTCTGCCACCTTTACGGTGTTCTACTATAAGTAGTAGTCCTAGTTACACTGTGTTTGTAGAAATACTATCATTTCTTTCTTGGTTAGGATCAGAATAGCTATGGAATTTTTTTTTCCAGGTTGCTAAAGAAATCACTCTTTCCCCTGATTAATTTTAGCAGATTACCTTTGTCATCTATGAGAAAAGTATAGGAAGCCAAAGAGTCTTGGTAATACGTCACATCTTCAAGGATGTAAGCCAGGTTCACGTCCACACCTACAATTCCCAGAAGTAGGTTTCCAAAATAACAGGGTTTACTCACTGTCATTATCAAACCTATGGGTTAAAAAAAAAAATCCAAAGAATAGCAGACAAGGACAAAGGCGGGACTTGTGCTCTGGTGAATCATAAAGGCTCCTAGCAGCCATCCAAATTCTGCTGGGAAGGAAAGCTTCCTGTGTGACCCGGGAACCAGCCACTGCCTTTCCAGACAGTGTCAGGGAGGGAGAGTAGAAGGGAAATCGAGTCTGTTGGGGGTTCAGATATCTCAGTTACACTGAGGCAATGTGTACATTTTCCACTATTTTTCACCTTGAAGGACATGACATTCCAGACCAGTGCAAATCATCAGCGGCACTTAATACATCATTCTACTTCCTGGAGTAAGGAAAATTCAGCTGAACTTGAAAGACCACTGTGGACAGGGGATCCAAAAATCTGGGTACTACCCAATTGTGCCCCTTGTGTATCATACATCTCTCATTGGACATAACTTCCCTGCAGCTTGATTTTCACATCTGTTTGAAGGACACAGTAATAAGTGCTGTACTGATTTCTAGGGGTTGTTTGATGAAAAGATATTATGGATAAAGGAAAGCCTGTAAGGTACTATGTTTCACTAAGGCATCCTACCCAAAAACAGACTAATGGAGAGAAAAAAACTTAGAAAGGCACAGAATCTTGTTATCTGACCACTTAGAACTCTGACTAGCTAAAGGAGACACTTAAAGCAGCGGTTCTCAACCTGTGGGTCGCAACCCCTTTGGCGGTCGAACGACCCTTTCACAGAGATCGCCTAAGACCATCCTGCATATCAGATATTTACATTACGATGCATAACAGTAGCAACATCACAGTTATGAAGTAGCAACGAAAATAATTTTATGGTTGGGTCACAACATGAGCAACTGTATTTAAAGGGCCAGAAGGTTGAGAACCACTGACTTAAAGGAACATATTTCTTGTCACTTGGGCCAGGAATGTGCAAATTTTTCTGTAAAGAACCAGATAGTAAATATTTTAGGCACTGTGGGCTATGTAGTCTCTGTTACATACACTTTCTTTTTCTTAAATCTGAGCTTTAAAAATATAGAAACCATTTTTGGCTCACAGGCCATACACAAACAATGGAATGCTTACAGAAAGAGAAAAGTGAAAGGGGAGAGAGAGACAGCAGTGAGCCAGTGACTGGCCCTGGGCAGAAGGGAAGTTGTGCTTTCCTCCTAGCTTTACTGCTGTGGTGGGTAAGTTGTGCCACCTCTCTGAATGAGACTCTTCATGTGTCAGATGAAGAGGTGAGACAAAATGATCTCTAGGACCCCAAACAACTCTACAATCCTAAGGCTCTAATTCAAACCCCAATCAAAATGAGGGATAGCTTCTCTCTACCATCCTCTTGTATTGCCCTGTGCTCGATGGCACTTCATACCTTAGCAGCATATATCAGAAAGCCATCCTTCTACGAACACGTGGGAAAGAGCTTTGGATCTTCTTCAAGATTTCTACAAAGAATGGGCTTCCACCCAGAGAACTGTGCATGGTGCCCACCCCAAGTGTTACCGAGCTGCTGTGATTGTCAAGGCCAAGTATATGCATCACACGGTAGGGGGAAGTGGATACAACACTGCAAAACTTCCTGAAAGTTATGCCCAGCTATAAGGTAAATAACCATTGAGGATGCAGTGTACAGCATGGTGACTAGAGTTAAGGATACTGTATTGTATATTTGAAAGTTGCTGAGAGAGATCTTAAGAGTTTTCACTACAAGAAAAAATGTGCAACTATGTGAGATGATGGATATTAATTGATTTATCTTTATTTTATAGACTTAAACACTTACTGAGGATGGGATGTGTGCCTTACCCACTACTGCCTGAAATAACGCTTGGCTGGCACTCAGTAATGTTGGTTAAATGAACAAAGGGCCACTTGCCTGTAAGGCTTGACATTTCCCCAGAAGAGAAAGTAACCTTATCTAAAGGTGGGCATTTTTAATCTATACACTTCTATGGGCCCTGCCAGAAATAGGAAGGATAAAAAAAATTTGGGTGTAGCAGCAGCTACCACATTTCTTCCTTATATAAAAAACATGTTTACCTAATTCTAGAAAACACACTCTGTATAGGCTTATTACTTTTTATACACGAGTTTCCTCTGAATATCTGTATTCATGAGAGTCCCTGGTTAATGGAACATGAAAATAAAATCTCATATGGTGATGGTATCTGGCTCTTCTATCTTCTTGACAAGGAAGAATAGGGAAAAGGGGAAAAAATAGGCAAGAATATGAAAAGGAAAAGAAAAAGGTTGTGCTTCTCCTGAGCAGAGGCCGTTGGCCAGGCATTATTCTAGATGCTTTACAAATATTAGTGCAATTAATCTTCACAACTGCCTTGAGGGAAATATTATTTTTCCCATTTTATAGACCAAGAAATTTAATCATGACAGTTAAACACTTCACCCAACTTGTGATATTGGGGTGATGATGATAATAATAGTAATAGTGACAAAAGTAAAATAACAAATTATGGGCAATTGTGACATTAGAATGATAATGACAATAGCGATAACAACAAAGGTAAAATAAATAAATAAAACAAGAACAGTAATTATTATTGAGAGGAATGCCAGGCACTAATAAATCTCATAATTACAATGACTTCAAAAATTTAGACTCAAAGATAGAGAGCTGTCTGGCAGCTGTTGGGGTGTGGGGAGGTGAAGGAGGGTATGATAAATGGAGACTTGACTTGGGGTGATGAACACACAATACAGTGTACAGATGATGTGTTGTGGAATTGTGCACCTGAAACCTGCATAATTTTGTAACCAGTGTCACCCTAATAAATTCAATAAAAAGGGAAAAAAAGAGATTACATTTTGAACCAATGACCAAATGGGAATTTACAAGGTTAAATAAGTTAGCAAGGACAACACCTCAGCTGTGGAGTGGATTTGCAATCCTCTCTAATGCTAAGCCTGGATTTGTTGCCTACTCCATGTTGCTCTGCCGTTGAGGCTGAATCCTAAGCACTCTGAGCTTTCTGTACCCCCAGCTCTGCAAAGTTGCTCTTTAGTTCCAAGTCTACCTCTTTTCCCTATCTTTTAGCAGGAAGTCTCCTCCAAACTCACCATCTCCCATCTCATCGGAGAAGGGGAGGCTAAAGACAGCTTCATCGATCATCCTGTTGGGAAGGTTGGTATAGAACCTGCCGACTGTGGTCTCCAGGTTACTCAGCTGGTTCAGCACCATCATGCTGCCCTTAATCACGGGCAAGGCTGTCCGGTCCGGCACGCCATACTTTCCTGAGTTCTGTTCAGCCAGATCTCTCAGAAAAGCCAGCTCTTTCAAACCAGTCACCCCATCTGAAATGGAAAGCCAAGGGAAGACAATGTAACACAACATGGTATAAATTCCTACAATAACTCTGCCATTTAGATCTAATAAAGGCTTGGCCGAGGTCTTGCAATACTTCTGCCAAATGAAGACCCCTCTGCCAAAGAGGTCTTTGCAGAGACAATCTGGACTCACAACAGAGATACCAGTTCTTGTTGAGGATCAGAGCCTGATGCATAGCCTTTCCTCAAATAGTCAAGAGGGCAAAGGGGTTCTTCAAAAGGCAACAATGTAAAACACACGAGTAAATAAAGAAGCTCCACCTAGCAAGGATGTGTTCTCCCCTAAAAATTTAATTATATTCAACTTATTTTTCTGCATTTAATATTTGAAAGCGAAAGTCATGACTAAGAAGTCTGCATTTAATTTAAATTAGATGAAATTGTAAGAGTTTTAAAGGATAGAGGTTTACCATTTCATTTCTTAACCTCCTCGCCTATTAAACACTTGCCAAAGTCTCATGCAACTAAATGAAAGAATTATGGATTGCATTTAGGATGCCTCCAACCCTTGTGCCTTTAAGCTCATTTTAATTACAAATGTTTTCATGCTTGATATTGTTAGGATAACACTGGATTTGATTTATTTAATGTATATATTTTTTTATGTTTAGATGGTTTTAAACGTTGTAAAAGATTTAGGCATACCGGGATGTATTGTTCTACAACATCTGTAACCCATAGCACAAAAATAAATTTAATAAAACTTTTAAAAATTCTGGTTTGCTATTGTTGGAACACAGTCAAGAGGATTAGTAACTGATCCCATATGGGTACCACTGTAAACAAATTCAAATGATTTCAATCACTACTGAGATTCTACCAATGAGTTTTAAAAAGGCTTTGCCTCATGTTCTTCAGTCATTAAAAAAAAAAGTGACATTATCATTTTTAAATAAGGAATGTACATAGTTCTAACCTTGGAAGTCTATTTCTAGAGTCATAGCAGGATCTAATGGATATTATTTCTTTCTTAACATATTGTGTTTTAATAACTTGGCTTTTGCTTCACTCATGCAATGCTTAAGGAAAGTCAGAACCAGATTATTATTTCCTTTGCTTGACACAAAGTTGAGATGGAGGGGTGGGAGTGGGTAAGTGGTACATTCCAAGTAAAAGATAACACAAAAGATACACTGATCCCTACTCTCTGACCTTATACCCTTGAGAAGCTCAGAAGCTCCCAGAGGTGAATGATAAAAGCACACAACGTAAGGCAATAAATACATTTCCTTTATTTGTCATCTACTGCTTGGTTCTTTCAAAATGTAAAAGAAAAGCAATAAACAGGAACATCTACTAGCTAAAGAAGAACAGTGTGGGATGCAAGGCTACCAAAGATTGGAAATTTTATATCACTCTATCATGAAATGTTGTTATGTAGGCCTGGCAGTAGGGGAGCAGACTGGTTAAGTATGTTGTATAGTTCTATCATCAACACAGTCATACTGGAAACTACATTTCCCAGAATTCCCTTTCCGTTTATGCTTCCAGGTTAAAGGTGACCAAAAGTGCAGTGTTGTGAAATTTAAGAGAAGTGAGAGAGGGTGAGAGACAGACACAGAGGGACCGAATGTCCTGGTTTGTCCAGCTCACTCTGATCTGATTCAGTTTCCTTTCCCAGCTGTTGGCTTGCTCACCCAGGGCAAGCCCAGATGCTTCACTTAGAATTCCCAGGGGTACGGCCACGAAGGGCCAACGACCTCCCACAGACTTCTGCACTAGCTTCTAGATATCCCTAAAAGCTCCAACTTGTCCACCCATACCAGAGCTGGCTACCAAATATTGTCAACTCTTCTTTATTTTTCTAGTTTCCCCATAATTTTGTACACTGTAATCCTGAGGATAAAACTGTTATACCCAAATTCTCAGGGTGGTTCTGCTTCCTTACTTGAAGCCTGGCTGGTCGAGTAAGGGGATGTGGCAGTGCCACTGAACAGTGCTCAGAGACGGACAGCGTTCGGGGAAATTGGCAGTGAGCACCTGTGTGTGGCTGGATTAAAGGGTGAAAGAGAAGAGATGGGGATGGTGGGAGGGAAGTCACCAGAGGTTTTAAAAAAGGAAACTCTCAGGGCACAGCCGGTGCATAAGAGTCTCTGGTGGGAAGACTTAGGACCAGTGAAGAGATGGGTGATAGCAACGAAGCTTCTTTTCTCAGTGTCTGCCTGAGCAGACCTCCACATCCAATGGAAAAGAGGAAGTGATCCCTTCATTTTACGTTTCCTCACTGCTGCACTGTTGCACTGAATTTATCTGCCGGGTCGGTCTGTCTTTCTCACTAGGTTATAAGCTTCCTGAGGACAGGGACTTTGTGTGACACAGCTCTAAAACCTCAGGGCACGGTTACATTGTAGGCTCAACACATTTTCCTTCCTCTCCTGTCCCCTTTCTTTCTGTTCCTTTCCGTCCCCTCCCTCCGTTCCTTTTCTCTATCCTTGCCTTTCTCTTAAGTGTGAAAGAAGCTAAACCATATGAAGAAAGAGTGATGGGCACCCAGAGGTAACACCGAAAGATATGTGCCATAGGAAAAACCGGCCATCCCTGCCCGTCTCAGCTGTGCTCGGCATACAAAGAAAACGAAAACCCTGTTCACGTCTGAGAAGCTCACAGTGTTGTGAAAAGTGAAAGGAGAAGGAGACAATAATACGGAGGTGAGCACATCACCGCAGTGTTAACAGGCAACATGCACAACACACCGGGGAACAGAATACGGACAGAGAGCTGGCCGAACCTGCCTCCGAGCTGTACTGAGACAGGGAATCGCACCATCTTTCATTCTCCTTCAGGTGGCTTTGAGGTCCGGTGATTTACCAGGTACTGTGTCAGGAACTTTAAACGCTTCCTGTCTTGTTTACTTATTATCCTGGCAAACCCTCTATACATTTTATTATTTTCATTTTACAGATAAAACTGAGGCCTAAAGAGAAAACATTACTTAGAGCAGCGGTTCTCAACCTGTGGGTTGCGACCCCTTTGGGGGTCAAACGACCCTTTCACAGGGGTCACCTAAGACCATCGGAAAACACATATATAATTACATATTGTTTTTGTGATTAATCACTATGCTTTAATTATGTTCAATTTGTAACAATGAAATTGGGGGTCACCACAACATGAGGAACTGTATTAAAGGGTCGCGGCATTAGGAAGGTTGAGAACCACTGACTTAGAGTAAGCCACGCAGCTAATACATGGAGACTGGAACTCAGAACCTCCAGACCACACACTGTGTGCTCGTCCATGTGTGTGGAATCCACAAAATACCTGGGAAAGAATCCTGCTGGTCAAAGCTCAAATTCCGGGACCTCACCTAAGAGGGTCCGGACGAAAACCTGAGGGAGTCTGCATTTTACAAAAACAACTTAAAGTAATCCTTAGCACATTAAAATATGAGAACCGCTGCCCCTAATGCCATGTGGTTCTACATGGAACGCTGGAAGGGGCCAGGAGACATTCGAGACCGTAGGTGGGCAGGGGTGCTGGATCAAGACACGGTCTTTAAAAACAAGAGCCTAAGGCAGTGATGGCGAACCTTTTGAGCTCGGCGTGTCAGCATTTTGAAAAACCCTAACTTAACTCTGGTGCCGTGTCACATATAGAAATTTTTTGATATTTGCGACCATAGTAAAAGACTTATATTTTTGATATTTATTTTATATATTTAAATGCCATTTAACAAAGAAAAATCAACCAAAAAAATGAGTTCGCGTGTCACCTCTGACACGCGTGTCATAGGTTCTCCATCACTGTCCTAGGGCCACCCTGAACAGGGACCAAGGGGCCTGAAGAAGATGCTTGGGGAAGAGAGTGATGACTGACAGGTGGGGAGACAGGACACAGCAGAGAGGCTAGAAGATTGAGTGCAGTCAGACTGGGGGACGAGGGAGAGCAGAAGGAAAGAACAGCGAGCTTTTCCTCAGAGGGGCCAACTGACTAAACACTTTCACATAATGTCTGGCTTAACAGCAAAAATGAAAAAAAAAAAATCAACCTGAATGAGCACCTTGCAAATGCCAGGCAGTGTCCTGTGTCTACTCTGCATTAGGCCTAACGAATCTGCACCACAAGCCTGTCACGGAGATGCTTATGTCTATTACACAGCGAGGAAAGCTGAGGAGGAGGAGGTAGCAAAGCGGCTTCAGGGGCGATGCTGCAGGGAAGTGTGACAGTCACAGTCCTGCACACCAATCCAGGTCAGTACCTTGACGTCCTGCAGCTTAAATTAATGAAAGAACAAAAAACAAAAAACACTCAGTAACCTCGATGCTGTATCAAAATCCCAGACTATGAGGGAGAACTGAAAAAAAGGGAGTCACACAGAACGCTCTGGGAGACCACATAACTGGAGAAGGTTTAGAAACGAGCTGCTGTCTGGAGAGAGAGAGGAGAAAGCACCTTCTCACACACGCCCTGAATCCCAACATCAGCTGCAGAGAGACGGCTGGGAAGGGAGCTGCTCAGTGGCCTCTCTGCTTATGGCCTCCATCGAAGCACACCGTTGTGGTTCTTTTTTATTTTTCTTGAAAGCAGCATACACTCAGAGAGAACTTTCATCTGAAAGAAAAATCGTGAAACACTACCTACCGTTCATGAGGGCATAGGTGAGAATCATCACGGAGTTGTTTAGAAAGCTATTTTCTTCATTGATGATACGGAGCGTCGCCTTTTTATCTTCTTCCTTTGATGTGAGGCCAGCCGACAGGTAAATGATGACCATGTCTGTATCTAAACAAAAACATACAAACTGTTACACTGGGTTCTGGCTCCAGGCAGCAGTGCAGTTTCTTTGTCGGTTCCCCTCGGACTGTCCCGCCCCCGGGACCTGCCTGGCCCACCGTTCCTACTCCTTCCCATTTGATGCTGGGCCTTTCATCTCCCTGCCTCTGCTTCGCGTCCATCCTGCACTTTGTGGGCAACGAGGCCTCATTTATCCGCTGTCAGGTAAAGAGAGGCTCCTAATATATTTCCAGATAAAAGAAGATCTCCTTAGAGCACCCATGGTTGAAAAAATGGAGCCATCCCAAATGGAAAGCTCTTCAGCCTTCTGAAAATGAAGATTCAGAACCCAATGTAATCTTTTCCTCCGTGACTCAGCAGGATATATCTTTTTTTTTTGGGGGGGGGGGAGGGGGCTAGGCTTTAAAAATGGTGGTTCTTTCAAGGCCCTTGAGACATATACAGTTCTTTTCCCTACACTAAGTAGCTGCAGAACATGTTTGTTTTGAAAACTCATCAGGAGCCTGGTTTGATTCCCAGTCAGGGTACATGCCTAGGTTTTGGGCTCAGTCCCCAGTAGGGGGCATGCAAGAGGCAGCCGATCAATGATTCTCTCTCTTCATGATATTTCTATCTCTCTGAAATCAATAAAAATATATTTAAAAATACCTATCTCGTTTTCCTTCTCCTTTCCTCTCTGAAATCAATAGTATATATAAACAACAATCAAAACATGTGTCAGGAGCCAGGCTGCCTGTGTTCAACTCACAGCTCTGCTACTTCCAAGCTGTGTCTGGGTGATGTAGGCAGATTTCTTAACCTCTGACAGCTACATTTCCTTGTTATGGGGAGTGGCTACAGTGTTTTGGCCAGGTTCAAGCCTCGGACTAATGAAAGGACAGGGTCCTCTCATTGCCACGTGCAAGTCCCAGCTGGAGGGCAGGGCCCTCCCAGCACAATTATAGCCAACAGCTATGGTTGTAAGCTTGAACCTATGGTCCAAACACGTGGCCCCACGTGCCTTGTGCTAGAGTTCAGGTGCATGTAGTTGAGTAGGGTTGGAACTCACGAGAATGCTGTAAACAACGTGATCACGCCCCTACTTTGCCTCGTGGCATCTGCTATAAAATAAAGACACGGCTTGTGGGCGCCGCTGTCTCCTCATCAGGGAGCAGCGTCCCACTGAGACCCAGCTTTCATTCTCATGTCTGTCTTTTCTCAATCCTTTCACCCCGCCCCTCTCAGGATCACCTTTGTCCGTAACACCTTGTCCATAAAATGGGGCTGACACTGCTTACTTTATAGGGTTGCTGAGAGGACTAATAAGTTAATTTGCATAAAAAGTGAGAGCAAAAGAGTGATGGCCAATAGAGGGCAAAAGACAAGAGAAACACAAAAACCCAAAACGAAACAAAGCAAAAAACAGGTGTAAAGCAGCACCTGTGACTCTAATGAAAACTACTCTCCATCGAGGGCTAACGGGTAGAGCAACTGAGAAGCCATGGCAGGTCCGTGGGAAGAACTTTTTTCAAGTGGATTTACTCAGAAAGAGTAACCGCAGATTCCCTGCACTAGGGTCATGGTGATGGGAGCGGAGGCTGAGCTGTGGCTTTCATGGAGCAGGGGAAGGAAGAGAACAGGGTTTTTACCTTTCCTTTCTAATCTGAGATTCTTTGATTTGATTATATATTGTAAGACATCCTATATATGAGTTTATCATTTTATTAAGAAATACATGTTTATACAATATGTTATATGCTTATTTCTTCAGGTCCTTATTGTCATTTAAATGAGGTTGCTTCATAGTTACTGTGGCAGGCGATCTCTGCGTGGGTTCCCAATGATCCCACCTCCTGATATTAAGATTCTTGAGTAGCAGTGTCCCTTTGACTGTGGGCTGGAGTTAATGGACTTACAGCAGAGGTGGTGAGATGTCAATAGACAGATTAAGTTAAAGAAGGTGGTGGCTTCTACCTTGGGTGCTCTCTCAACTCTCAGGGAGGCCAGGTAGCATGTTGAATGAGTCCAATGGAGAGGAATGGGATTGAGGCCCTGAGAATAGAACCCCACCAACACCCATTTGAGTGAACACGGAAGCGAATCCTTCCCAAGTTGAACGCTGAGAGGACAGCAACCCTGGCCGATAGTTTGCAACCTCATGAGACACCTTTAGCTACAGGTACCTGGCTACACTGTGTCCACATTCTGGACCTATACACACTGAGATAATAAATGCTTATTATTTTAAATCACTGACTGTTGGGGTAATTTGTCAACTAGCGACAGATAATGAATACAGTTACTCTTTTTTAAAAAATATATTTTTATTGATTTTTTTACAGAGAGGAAGGGAGAGGAATAGAGACTTAGAAACATCGATGAGAGAGAAACATTGATCAGCTGCTTCCTGCACGGCCCTTACTGGGGATGTGCCTGCAATCAAGGTACATGCCCTTGACCGGAATCAAACCCGGGACCCTTCAGTTTGCAGGCCGACGCTCTATCCACTGAGCCAAACCAGTCAGGGCTACACTTACTCTTTTAAACAAGTATCCTCACAGTGTTGAGGATACAATGCTTGAAGTTCCTTCAGCTTGTAAGTTTCCAGTTTAGACTTTGAAAATATCCTTTATTGTGCAGCATGGAATAGATAATTTTATGTTGCATCAATGTTGTGTAGACAAATGAACTGATTTCATAAAATCTGACCCAAAGAAGTAAATCCATTCAAAGCTGCTATCTCTTACTTACAACTTAGTATATAAGCAAGTCTGGGTTTTTACCTTTTCAGATACTATATGTGTATGCTTCTCTCCCTCAGTCCAATCAATACATTTGACTTCCCCATTACATGAGTAACTCTTATTGTTAGTTTCTCCTTTTTTAGTTTTCTAAAAACCTTTATTGTTGAAAGTATTACATATACATGTCCTCCCCGCACCCCACGTTGACCCTTCTAGCCCACCCCCAGACCAGCAGAAGTGAATGAGGGAGTCATCCATCTACTGAATGTACACAGCCTTTTTCTTTTATTTGGGGTGACAGTTGTTCCTTTTAATGACATTTTTCCTGCCCGAAACTCCACAGGAGCCTGGCACTAGGCTTGGAAACAGAGTGCCTGAAGTTGCCATCCTGGCCAATGCAGAGACTCAGCTGAGGGATCTACTGTGTGTGATCGCTCTTCCTCTGTAATTGATTTCTAATTGTATTCCACAGTGATCTGAGATGCTTGATATGATTTCAATCTTCTTGAACTCGTAGAGACTTGCTTTGTGTCCTAACATGTGGTCTATCTTTGAGAATGACCCATGTGCACTTGAGAAGAATGTATATTCTGCAGCTTTGGGGTGAAATGTTCTATAAATGTCAATTAAATCCATCTGATCCAGTGTGTTCTGTAGAGTCACTGTTTCCTTGTTAATTTTTTGTCTGGAAGATCTATCCAGTGAAGTCAGAGGGGTGTCAAAGTCCCCAATTATAAATATATTGCTGTCTATCTCTGCTTTAAAATCCTCTAGAAGTTTTTTAATATATTTAGGTGCTCCTATATTGGGTGCATATATGTTTACCAGGGTTATATCCTCTTGTTGGATCGATCCCTTTAGTATTATGTAGCGACTTTTCTTGTCTCTTGTAATGGCCTTCATTTTGAAGTCTATTTTGTCAGATATAAGTATTGCTACGCCAGGTTTTTTTTTTTTCATTTCCATTCGCATGGTAAATTTTTTCCCATCCCTTCACACTCATCTTGTGTGAATCTTTTGTTCTGAGGTGGGTCTCTTGTAGACAGCTTATAGTTGGGTCATATTTTTGTATCCATTCAGCTAATCTATGTCTTTTGATTGGAGCATTTAAGCCATTTACGTTTAAGGTTATTATGGACAGGTACATTGCCATTGTAATTCTTTGAAACAGATGACTCTGAATAGAGAGAGGCTCCAGCACAGGACTGAAACAGATGACTGAGTGAAGAGTACCTCCAGCACAGGCCTGAGACTCCAAGTAGAGAGTGGCTCCAGCAAACAGGACTGAGATTCTAAGTAGAGAGTGGCTCCAACACAGGACTGAGACTCCAAGTAGAGAGTGGCTCCAGCACAGGAATGAAGTAGATGACTCTGAGTGAAGAGTGGCTCCAGCACAGGCTTAAATAAGATTTTTGTCTTATTCAATCTACCTCAAATGCCTGGATTCAGTGTTTATTAAACCAAATATGTGGCTAAAGTTGGATTCAGTGTTTATTATACCATCTCAAATGAGTGTATGCAGTTTTGCCCATGATCCAATAAGATGAGTCAGGCACAGGATTACATAATATTTCTTCCTGGGTTAGATGACCTCATAAAATGAACCTCAGTAAAATGGCTCAGAGTAAAGTGTGGCTCAGGCACAGGAGTAAATCAGATGTCTTTGAGTAAAGTTTCCATTTGCATGGAAATTTTTTTCCATTTTTTCACTCTCATCCTGTGTGAGTCTTTTGTTCTGAGGTGGGTCTCTTCTAGATAGCATATAATTGGGTCATGTTTTCATATGATTAAGCTACTCTATGTCTTTTGATTGGAGAATTTAACCCTTTGAGTGCCAACCAATATCCTAGGAACTATGCTAAAATTGCCAAGGCATTTTTGCTGATTTTACAGCAGTTTAGGAAAAAAATTATGAATCGTAAGTACATGAAGTTACATATTCAAAAACTTAAGGAAACCTTTACTACATTTGTTTTCTGCACTTAGGTGCCATCTGTCAATAAAGAGTGAACTACTAGTATCTAATAGTGACACTGCAGGAGGAGCGCGATAACGCTCCCGGCACTTTTGGCAAAAGACAGGAGGAGCACAATCGCGCTCCCCGGCACTCTAGGTTTTAATCCATTTACATTTATGATTATTATTGACCAGTACTTATTTATTGCCATTTTAATTCTGTATGTCTAGGCTTCTCTCCATATATATTTCTTCTTCTCATTACAGCAGTCCCTTTAGCATTTCTTGTAGTGCTGGTTTGGTGGCAAT